AAAAAAAACAGTGGGGAAATCACTCGACTATTTTCCCCAAGAAGTAATGTTAGTTCTGATAGTAAAGAAAAAGGAATTTGTGGAAAGCCATGATTACCTACATTATTTGTAATCATTTCACCACAAGCGAGGCAATAAAGCATGTGAAAGAATCTGATAAAAAAAACATTATTAACGAAAGAGGACAATAAAAGAACAGGAATTAAAGAGACAGATGACACTTGACATTTTTTTTTAATGGTTTCACCCCAAGCAAGGCTGAAATGCCACTAGTACACAGGAGGTTACAGAGAGTGAATGTGAAAAAAAATAGCGAATGATGTTGCATTTAAATTTTTGAAGATTGTAGTTACCAGGGAAAGAAGTAAACAGAAGAGAGTTATCAGGAAATGAAGTAAACGGTGGGAAGTGCAAGGAAAGAAACTTTTGGAGTAGAATTGGAAGTTACATTTAGACATTTCAACAGTAAAAGAGTGGGACCTAGATGCCAATCTAGTAGTATGCTTAAATTCTCATAGTTGGGGCAGCAGGGGAAAAATCTCATCAGTTGCCATGAAAATATTTGTAGAAAAGACAGAGGGAAGTCATGTCACATCGGTGAGAAAGTGACGGAAGTCGAGATGCCAAGTCAAGATCAATTACATTGCAGATCCTCCTTTGGATTTTGTCAAGGACATTGAGATGAAAAACAAGAGAACAAGATCAGATATGGCAACAGTATTCAAAGCATGGATGAATGGTAGATTTGTAAATGTACAAGATGGAATCTGATGAGAAAAACCTTCTGGTATGACACAGTGACCCAACTTTCCTTTCAGTAGATGCAGCTATTGATTTTATGTAGCCATTCAACTTCAAGTCAGTTGAAAATATGAGGACAAGAAGGTGCAGTGTGTTGCTCTCCATGAGTCTAGCATCAGCCATGCTGATGACAGGCAGGAAAGTTTCTCTCTGGTGGTTAAATAAGAGCAGTTTTGTTTTGGAGGTATTAAAATTTACAAGCTATTTCCTGTCCCAGTTAACCACTGATTGGAGGTACTTTTCAAGAGACAAACCTTATTAAGAACAACAAACAATAAGAAATTGTGGAGAACCGTGATCGCCCACGTCCTTAAGGGACATGGCACATGAAAGAAAAGAAGAAAAAGAAGAAAACCATATGATTCAAAGTTGAAAGTAGACTTCTCAATTTTCATGCCTGCTTTGAAAATCTGATAATTCCTTGACTATGAATTGTTTTTGAAGTTAATTATGCAAAATAATGATGTCTATTCACTTATACTATGCCTCTTTTTCTCTCATTGATGATGACGGACACTTCCATCATTTTCAGTATATCAGGGTACAGCAATTCAGTTCTTAGAACAGCCAGACTACCAGTACATATGATTCCATTACAGTAGTGAAGGCTTGTGCACAACCGTCCATACTTTTCAGCAGAGACAAATACAGAAATCTGCTGTGCATAGTGTAGCATGAGATTCCCAAAAGATCCTCCTGAAGATTTAAATTCAAAGTTGAATTTCTCTTAGACTGGTTGTCAATCAAGGCTAAAGATCCCACTTTACCCTACTATTTAACCCATTGTTAAGTGGAGACAGATAGATTTTTACCTTTCCCAAGGGTATTTGTATGTAAGTGAATATAGCATATTCAATTGTAATTCAAATTTACATCACCAATTTCTCTTTCCAAGCTAGTATCCACTACACCAAACACATTCTTTCTTTCATATATATATATATATATATATATATATATATATATATATGTGTGTGTGTGTTGATGGGTGTGTGCATTTGGACAGTGGTTTTTCATTGACACAAGTTTTATTATATCTCGACAAAAGTCCTTTGTTCAGAATTTTTAATAATTTTTTTATGTTTTTCAGATGAGTTGTTTGACATCATGATTGAGGTTGTATAGTTAGTGTCCATGTTCTAAGTGCTTTTCAGTTTCATAAACTATTGTCAAACAAAGATTATGTTCATGTTGTAACATAATGCACAAAATGAATTTAAAACTCTAAAGGCATTTTTAACACAAAAAGTATAATACAAATAAACAAATCTGAAAGCCAAATGCACTCAAAATTTGGACAATACTTCCAATTCTCTCTCCCACTGCCATACATATATGAAACCACTATTATTGCCATAATTAATACATAGGAGAAACCTCAAGGAATTTAAATAAAATATATGAAAACAAAAGGGATCTTTTACAAAACAATACACACAATGCATTAGTTGCTCTCCATAATGTTTATGACCATAATTTGGATTTCAAAAGTGCTACTTTAATTAAAAGAGAAATCCATTTACTTGGACAAAAATGTATATAAGGTACTTTGATCACTATTTACTATGTTCTTATAATGTTTCATCTTTCTTAACAGTTCTTCTATTATCACAATGTGGAATACTTAATAATTAAAATGATATAAACAAGAAAGAAAAGAGAGAAACTGTGAAATTGGCTAGACTACATGCCTAGACATGTATATAGGAAAAAAAATTAAACTTAAAATTTTAAAATTTCAGTGTTTCCAACATTTTTGGTGTGTGTATGTATATATATATATATATATATATATATATATATATATATATCTCATGCCTTAAAAACTATATTTTTATCATACCTTATATATAGCATACCATAAAAATATATAGTTTTACTTTATATTATATTTATAGGTTAAGGTGCTCAACATCAGGGATAGATGTAAATATAAAAGTAGACATTGATGGGAACACCCACTGGTGACAGTCTGTTTCATGCTTAACCACATACATCAGGCTATGGAGAAAGATTGTCGCTGCTGGATGTTAACCTCAATGTCCATTTTTTTATATATATATATATATATACACACACACACACACACACACACACACACACACTACAGTTCAAAAGCAACACCTGACCAATTTTTTAAATTGGCCCCAGAAATAGTTGTTTGGTACTTTAAAAAAAAGAAAAGTGAAGTATGATTTTTTTTATTAAAAATTTTATAATGACAAACAAAAAAAGCATTTTATGATAAAATTTCATTCTCATCTAAATATCCTCCTTTAGCCTTGATTACTGCAGCACAAATATATAGTTGTTTCCCATGTGATAGAGCACATTCTTGGCACCCTTTTTAATTTTTTCTGTTTTTTTTTTTCTTTTCCAAAGTAATCATGATTTTTTTTGCATAGTATGTACACATCAGCTAACATCTTGAAATCTTATGGCCTAAGGGTAGTTTGTATATACATACTATGTACACACCAACCAAACTCACCAAGTGAGGAATGACCATCCAGCCAAAATGGAAATATTGTAACATCATCATTACTTTGAAAAAAAAAAAAAAACCACCAGAAAACTTTTTTTCATATGTTTTCAATCCAGAAAGCATATACACACTAAATCTGATATATTGAATGTGTGAAATGAGACAACTTTTGAATGCAAAACAACTATTTCTTTTATATCTAATATGAATTGTAACATTTCTTTATCCTAAAATATTTATATTATAAACGTTAGTCATTAGGTTTAGAATAGAGTCTTTGGTTGTCAGCAAATACTGCATCTTTGGAGCCAAGCCTTCCAAAATCTGCACATGCTTTTGTTGTTAGTAACTCTTAATGTTGGTGGATGTGATTTATCTTTGCTTAAACAAATGTGTTTTCCATTTCTATGGCTAATTTTCATTTGAAAATGAAAACACTGTCACAGGCTAATAAAATGCATTTATATATTTTGATTTCTGGATAGACTAGCTACTGGTGTAATAGTTTTAGTTCTTGAATAAATATGAAACTTCTTCTTCCTTTTATGTGCTGTGTTCCTTCAGGACATAGGCGATCATGGCCATCCACATCTTCTTTTCCCTTGTAGTTTTGTCTTTTTGTTATATCTCCCAAACTCTTCTTCTGCCATCCATTTGCTCAAGCCAATCAAGTATGTTATGCACTGCTTTCCTCTGTCCCTTTTCCTCTATCTCTCTTGTGAGTATCAGATTTTCTAAGCCCTCTTCCCTCATTATGTGCCCCAGAAATTTCAACTGCCTGTTCCTTATGTTAATTCTGTGCTTGAGTTCATCAGTGCTATCAGGAAGAGAGTGGGGGACATAAACCAGTCCCCTTCATATCCCCATAAAAAGAGGGAGGAGGGCATAGACCAGTCCCTTCACATATCCCCATAAAAAGAAATCACACAAGGACAGATCTGGTAACCCCGGCAACCATTTCATCAGAAAACTGTTTTCATCTCTACAACACCCAATCCATTTCTCTGGCAGGTTCTCATTGAGATAAGCACGTACTGTCCTCTTTTATTAAATATAAAGTCTTCATCTGTTCCTATACATTCTGTGAAAATTTGAGATTATTTCAACAAGAATTGCCAAAATTATTGGCCTGCGAAATGATGTCAAATTTTGGGGGGACACTCTTTTATGGATATACATTATCATCTGAATCCCACATTGACAAACTAGAATTATTATATGCTTACATACATAAAGCAGTTTTCCAGTTTGATTAGGAATCTGTTAATTTCTTGGAACTTGAAAGGAAAGTATTGTCTCTCCTTGAATTCAGAACTCCACAAATTATACTAACATTTGTTTAACAAGTCAAATGCACATAAAACATGATTAACCAATTAAAATCAAACAACACAAAAATAAAAATACCAGAATTTCTTCTTTTTCTCTATATTTTGTTCTTTGATGAAGCTTTACTATAAGACATGCTAGATTAATAAATGTTTTGTATTATTATCTTATCGTATATCTCTCTCCAATGCAAGAAAATACCCCAGTTGAATAAATTTATTTAAAAATTATGGCTGTTAATGCATTGATGTTTTGGTTCATTTAATATATCTAACTATATTGGATATCCTATGGAAAAATAATTCTTTTAAATTGTTGTATCATTCTTCAGTTAGAATTATTCAAAAGACATATTTGATTTTTTCTTCTTCTTCTTCTTCTTCAGGATGTCAAGTGACAAAAGTTTGGACCAAGATATTGTCAACTTTGCTCGTTATCAGAGTAATATTAAACGGATTTTCATAATGGAAAGTGCTGTTCACTTAACTAATGTAAGTTTATATATATATATATATATATATATATATATATGTATTATTTATTTTTCACACATGCGTGGTTATATTTGCTTAACTATTTTAGCTATCTTACTTCAAGAACTGAAAACTTTGTTGCAAAATAGATTTCTTTTTATATATCACACATACAGGGTGTATTTGAGCAGCAATTATTCATTCATTTAAATTTGGTTGAGGACCAACAAAATTTCTTTAAGATATGTTTTTTTTAATCATTTCACCCCAAGCAAGGCAATAAAGCCATTGAGACACAAGGGGTTAATGAGTGTAAAAGTATCAGAAAGCAGAAACATTATTAAGGAGTGAGAACGATAGAAGAGTAATCAAGACAGTACATGATGACTGACATTGCATTTAATTTTTTGAAGATGAAAGTTGGTTGGAAAGCATGGAGCCAGAAGAGTGTTCCAAAAGCAAGAAATGCAAAAAAAGAAACTATTAGCATAGAACTTAGTTATATCTCGCCAACTCAGCTGTAAATTTCTGAGACCTTGTTGCTAATTTAGTATTGTACTTAAATTCGTAAAGTCTAGGTGTCATAACAGAGAGCTCATCTGAACAATTACAATGAAAATATTTATAGAAAATGCACAGAAAAGTGACTGAAGCCAAGATACCAGGTCAAGACCAATAATATTGCAGATTCTTCTTTTGGATTTTGTCAAGAATCTCTAAATATATAGCAGGAGCACCAGACCATATGTGGCAGCAATATTTAAAACATTTTTTTTTTTTTTTTTTTTTTTTACAATTCAAACTATATTTCTGGTTTCCAGGGAATTCTCTGTTCCTCACTATCTTCCTCTCTTTTGAAAAGACTTTAATGTTCACATGTATGGCCTTAGTGTTTATGTTTGAAAACATCTCCAACTGGCAATGGAATTTTCTCTTGGGTCTCCAGACCTTATATGTGTCTTTCTTTATTAAAATTAGTCAACTTATATCTTTGTCCTCTAGCATTCCTCTTCCACTCATGACTTGTGTGTTTGATGGAATTTCTGATCATATTGATAAGGTTCTCTTTCTCTTCACCTGCCTGCAAATATTTTTGTGTTCTATGATATCAATACCTATTATGTCACTGGCCTTGAACTCTACTCTATTACGCAATCTCTCACACAACTAGTAGACTTCTCCACACATTTCCTTAGTAATTCTGATGGATACTTCTCTATTTCATCTCTTCCTTATCTCCACCCCAGATCCCTCTTGTATACTGCAGATCTGTCCTTGGCAACTCTGATCATGCAGTGGTGTCTATAGATATCTCTTTCTGCTCCCCACCAGTCACAAACCTACCATTAACAGAATTACTGTCTGTTATCAACATGCTGATTGGGACTCATTTTCTGACTTCCTTCATGATGCCTCCTAGAAAGAATATTTTTAATTCAGATATGTGCCACCGAGATCTATTCCTGGGTGAAAGCTGGCATCAAGGCTTTTATCCCAGCTTGGAAATACCAAGTGAAACCACGTACACAGGGAGTGAACTCACTGTCACCAAATTCACAAGCCACTGCTTTAATCCACTAGGCTGTTGTCCTAACAACAAAGGTGTTATACCATAATACCTATTCTATTGTAATAGGCTATCCCACAGATAATAAGTAGTAGTAGCAGTGGCCAGTTGGGCTCAGTGGTTTTCAGTGAGTCTGTCGGACATTGAAGTACTATCACAACTACATTGTTGCATCATTAACTCTTATTTCAAGTTCCTAACGTTTTGTACGTCGAACCTAATTTAGGACGACTTATTGGAATAAAAGCCTCCACTGTGAAAACTACTCTACAACAAAAGGTAAGGACAATAGTCCACATGTAAATAGTGTAAATAAACAGCTTCATGTGTTTGTGTTTTTTTTTCCCTGAAGATGATTGATTTGTTTTTTTTATGTCTTATCAACACTTAGCAGACTATTTAAAACCAGAAAATATTTTTCTAGATTGTAAGAATTTTTTGTGGGGTGATAATAATGGTTTAGTGATACAGATCTTACTAACTAACCCATAACTGGGGGGAGAAGAGGTGAATTCATACCTTTCCCAAGGGTATATGTGTGTAATTGAATATAATAAACCCAACAGGAATTGAAATTCTGAGCCATTATCTGTTACAGCACCTGGTATTCCCAATCAGTCACCCTTCTAGGTACTGACATGGCTCAATGTTGGTTAACTTCAATGATTGTAGGAGAACCGATGTCTCAACATAATGTGGCCGTAAGACTTTCCTGAAGATGATTCTAACTGAAAAGCTTTAAGATTCATCAAAAGTACTTTTTCTTTTACATCAGTGTGAAAACTCGAGAACTTTTGCATGTTTTTTTTAACCTTACATCACTCTCTACATGTGGTATCTTCCGATGATTCTAGCTTTTAATGTTTTCGAGGGCTGACAGTTGGGTTCTATTCTATCTTGCATTTTAAAGTAATATACTCAACAACTGACAAAGAACAAGTCACCAATCTTTAAAAAATTTTTTTAGGCATTATGGTCAGATATTGCCTCCCACTTAGTTGAATGCTTCAAGAATGTCTCAAAATTGCCAAAACTCAGTTCTATGACTATTATAAAATCTAAAACAAAAAGTACAGCTGAACTGTACTGATAATGATATGGTAGATAATAATAATATATTAAAATATATTGTGTAAGTGAAGTCTAATTTGATAGTAAATAATATAAAATTAGGAATCTGTTATTAAAATCAATATAATTGCTGTTGACTATTTATAAACACAGACGTAAAGAGATGGGCGCTGACCATTTAAGCATACTATGCCACATCCCAAACGAATCTACCAATAGAAAACAATGATCTACAACTTGATGGAGAAAACCCATAATGCAAGATCTCCAGTTGAAAAGGAACAACTGTGTTTAAGAAGATAATAATTACAACAACAACAACAATAATAATAATAATGATAATATGAAGTCATAGACTTTAGATGTGTACATGAAATGAATTTTTAATAGTCAAGGTCTGTAAACATGAAAATACATCTGATACAGCCCAATAAAAATTCTGAAATAAACTTAATTAAAATGACATTTAAAAAGTCTTCATTTTTCATTAAAAGAATTCCTCAATTATCACTGGAATTAATCTGGCTATTACTATGTCAAAAGGACATTTTCAAATCCCATCAAGAACAGGAGGAAGTTTTTTATACAAAACAACTGACAGGGAACAAAATCAAATAACAGAAAATGATTGTAGAAAGGTTTTAAATGCATATCAAATGTGCTGTCAACTAAGAGAAAATGCTAATTAACATATTTTTAAATTAATATGCAAAATAACCACTAGTAATATTATTCAGTAATATTTTTTAAAGTGGCAGCTTCTTCCAAAAAACAAAAAAAAATTGAAATTCTTCATAAGATTTTACATACTTTGTTGCATCTTCTATTTGCCATGTCACTTTAAGACATGGGTGACTATGACACTCTACATTTTACTATCTTTCAAAGCACTTAGCAGTGTTTATCTTTTTACTATTACCTGTCTTCTTGTTCTGTCATCCATTTACACAATCTCATTGGGTAGGTTACTCACAGTTTCCTCTGCCTTCACTATACTCCGTGAGTGTCAAAATTTCTAGGCCACCTTTTTTTATTGTGTGTCCCAGAGATTTTAACTACCTCTTTCTGATTGTAATATAGCAACTACTCTAATTAGAAGCTTATGAAGTATTATTTAACTAATTCAGCTTTAGCATTGAAAACATTTAATCTATTATAGTGGATGGTTACAAGTTAGAGGGGAGATGGGATGTGCTTATTTTATTATCACACTGATTGTATGCATAATTATCCTTTTTGTTTCTGTTTTCCTTAAAACTTCCCCACTGTTTACATGTTCTGTCCATGTTATTCTCAGCATCTTTCTGTAGAACCGCATTTCCTATGCCTCAAGTCTTCACTTTATCTGTGAGGATATTGTCAAGCATTCACTACCATATAAGAGGATTTTATTATATAGCAGTTCAGCACTCTTTTCCTCATTTCTAACAAAGAGTGAAGTGTGATCACATTGCAAAAAGAAAGAAATAATAATTTAGACATTATAAGTCATTATATATTATAATCATTTAAATCAGGGTTTTCCCAATCTGAGCGATATTGTCTGCTAGTGGGCAATGAACAACAGAACAAAAAAATGGTGAGTGACTGTAAATTTTGTTGAGCATTATAGGATTTGGGGTATTTAAAAGGTATTTCAACATATGCTACCTGAAAAAAAATATTCAAAGGAGGCATGCAAAAAACCTAAATATAAAAAAAACAAAAGATAATAAGAGGCTAAACAGGAATAACTGGTTCACATTTCAAGATAAGGTATAAATATCCCCACAAACAATGAATATTTTGGTGTTTTCTATATAGTTTTGAGAAGGGTCATTAACATTCAAATAGTTCTTTAGACAAAATGACATTTTTCCGAATATAACTCAGATAAGGGAAGACCAAGAACAACAAAAAAGTATTTGCTGAATTTTATCGATTGCTAGATGTGTATATTATTTTTAATTTTATAATTATTAATAAAAATAATTTAATTTTTTGTCAAGACTTTCAACGCTAACCCTGTTTTTAAATAGATGCAACCATAAATCCCATTCTTATAGTTTCTTTTCTCACACTTCTTGTCTGTGGAACTCTTTTCTGTGGTTTTTTTTTTTTTGCTTCCCTGCTATCTACAATCTTCAAAAATTTAATGCAGTGTCAATTGCCATTTTCATTCTCATTCTCTCCTAGTAACTCATTGTGTCCCAGTAGCATTATGGCCTTGCTTGGGGTGAAATGATTAAAATAAGAAAAAACTACTACTTTTTTTTTTCTTATTTTAATATTTTTAGGTGAGAAAGTGAGTGAAGTCAATATGCCAGGTCAGGACTGATTACATTGCAAACCCTTCTTTGAATTTTGTCAAGAATCTCACGATATACAGCAGGAGCACTGGGCCAGATGTGGCAGCAATATTCAATACATGGCTGAATGGTAGCTTTATAAATGTGCAAGATGAATTCTGAAGAGAAACATTTTCTGGCATGACACAGTGAGCCCACTTTTCTAGGTGTAGCAATTGATTCAATATAGTCTTCATGTCAGTGGAGAATATGAGCCCAAGAAGGTACATAGTGTTGCTCTTCTGGTGTTTGGCATTAGCCATGCTGATGGCAGGCAGAAAATGTTCTCTGTGGTGGTTGAAGGAAATTTTTGTTTTGGAAGTTTTATAATTTACAAGCCATTTCATGCCCCAGTTAACCACTGATTGGAGGTTCATTTTGAGAGCAGTTGCCAAGTTTACTTTGTCGGATTTGTTGGACCACCTACTAAGAGAGGAGTAACTAGTTGTGTCATCTGTATAAATACCTAGTTGTGAACTGATGACATCAAGGAAGTCATTGATGAAGATCAGAAACCATGTAGATCCAAGGATAGTGTCCTGGACAACCCCTGCTTTGGTATGAAATGATCTTGAAGTATGCCTGTTCAATAAGAACTTCATTACACTATTTGTTATGAATAATTGGATTAAGCCAAATATTCATCTCCTGACACTGTAGCCCTTTGGCTTGTATAGAAGTCAAGCCATGTTGAATACCTTTGAGATATCTAAAGCCACAGCCGAAACTTCATAATTCTTATCTAAAGCTTGATAGACAAATTCAGTGATGGCCATTAACACATCATTGGTAGACCCTGTTGAAAGGGAAACAATATTGTTTGTTCGAAAGCAGGTCATGTGAAGTAAGATGCTTAAACAATTTTGCATTGATTATAGTCTCTAATACTTGTCAAAAAAAGGTAAAAGACTAATAGGGTAATAATTTAAGGAATCAGAGTGTTCCCTAAAGTTCTTAAAAGCAGGAACTACAGTGAAGGACTTCAAATAACCTGGAAAGCAAGAAACAGTGAGTGATTCATTATAAAGTTTGCAGGGAACAGGATCTAGTTCAGGAGCATATTTCTTTAGGATGACTGCAGGGATACTATCAAATCCATATGCCTTGTGGGAGTCTAATTTATAAATGATAGCTGAAACCAAGGACAGAGTTTTATGTACATTGACTGCTGACCTGAGATGGAATAAATACATCGAGTCAATTGCCTCATCTACTGCAAGGAAAGTTGGCTCCCTGAGCCACGCTAGGAAGTTTTTTCTCCCCGGAGTCGATCCTCCAGATCTACAAATCCACAATTCGCCCTTGCATGGAGTATTGCTGCCATATATGGTCTGGTGTCCCTTCTGTTTGCCTCGGGGTTCTTGATAGGCTCCAGAGGCGGATATGCAATATGGTTGGCCCTGCCCTGGCGTCTCGTCTACAGTCACTTTCTCACAGACACGCCGTCGCCTCCCTCTGTCTGTTCTACAAATACTTTCATGGAAATTGCTCAGACGAGCTGCATTCGCTGGTTCCCAGACGTCATAAGTTCCAGCGCCCTACAAGGCTGGCATCCCGCTCTCACCCCTTCACTGTCGAAACTCCTAAATGTAGCCGTCTCTTCTACTCTAATAGCTTCATGTCTTGCACCTCTCGCCTGTGGAACTCCCTTCCCTTCTCCTGTTTCCCTGTGAGGTATAATCTCCAGCTATTTAAGTGTAATGTCAATCGACATCTCCAGTTTCCTTGATCTATCCACTACCCTCATCCTTTCTTCTATCACTCCTATCTGATCTTGCTCTAAATTTTCTGTAACCCCTTGCGTCCTAGTGGCTTCCCGCCTTGCTTGGGGTGAAATGCTTAAAAAAAAAAAAAATAATATCACTCAGTAGAGCCTCCATTCTATAGGTAAAATCTGTCAGAGATACTCTAGATGAGACTTGAGTGGAGAATTTCTGAGCAAAGCACTCTGTTTTGTCTGCAGTAAATGCCAGTACTGCAAATTGATTGAACATCCAACCAATCATCCGTGAGAGAGGAGGTGGTTTTAACCAGACTCCATATAGGACACACATACATAACCCACCAACATCTACTAAAAATGAGGAACTGCCAATATGTGTCCCATGCCAGGAACCATACACCGTTAAACATATTCTACTAAATTGCTGTAACTTCCAGCAAAATCGAAACAAATTCTACAAAGTGCATAACTTAAAGGATCTATTTGAAAACACTGATCCAAGTAACATCATACATTTCATTAAAGAAAATGGGCTCAACAGGAAAATATAAAAAAAACAAAAATACTGTTTACCAAATCTGCTTATCTACATTGTTTTGTGACCAATTTTTGAGGGAAAAATTATTACCAGCAATACATTTGACTCTCGACAAAATCCCCACTTATAAAATGAAAAACTGATCTCCAGAATGATTCCTTACAACGAATACATACTCTGTTCATACAAACTTAAAATCTTGTCAGTATTAAAAATAACCCTCTGAGGTTGATATGCCATCAGACTAAATAAACCAAACCAATCAAATTGCTTGAAGAGAGAAGGGACTAAGGATTTGCTATTGTTCAGCACACTCTGAAAACGTTTTCTTTTTTTTTTTTTTTACACTAATACAATGCAAAGGTTGAGAGCCACTCAAAGTAGAAGGCAACTGTTAAAATGGTTATGATGAATAAGTGTGTGATATGAATGAAAGGATAAATAGTAGGAAGTGAAGATTGTGACTATGTGGTGAGATTGAAAGATGGAATGAAATATTTTTGCAGAGGTACAAAATTTTATTATAGCCATAAAAGCAAACATACAACAAAGTGTTTTATAAAAAAAATGATGTAATTATAATGGTTCTTCTGAAAATTTGTTGTATCTAGAGTTTTCAAGATAACAGAGGGAAATAAATAAGGAAGACAAACTCGTATATAAGTAATGAAATAGGTTTACTACATGAATGTACACTTAGTACTGGACCTAATACTAACTCTGCTTATTTATATAAAGGGACAATTCCATTCATTTATGTTCTTTATGACAGTAATATAAACACTGTATCAAATACAAATGCCAACATGATTGTTTCCTTCAAACGGTGCTTCCTCAATTTGAGCCGCTTTCCATTACTCCACCATACCCCCGAGTGAGGGTTAGTTAACCATAAAAACCAAATCAGTCTCCCCACAATCACCAATATCCAGGTCAGAACTAGTAGCAATAATTATAATAATAAATATATGAAGTAAAATTGTGAAAGAAAGTAATTAATAATGTCATCCTCATCAGTAATTGTTGTATCTCGTGTTTTCGAGATAACAGAGGGAAATAAATAAGGGAGACAAACTCATAGGTAAGTAATAGGTTTACTACACAACGGTACACTTAGCAATTAACCTAATGCTATCTCTCCTCAACTCAGCTTATTTATATAAACAGACGATCCCATTCATTTATGTCATATATGGTAAAATTATAGAATCTATTATTGATATATGTGTATTTATACAATGCTATTATACTTAAACTTTAGTTTCTTGTTATTTAGTAAACTTTTCATATATTGAAGAATCTATGAGAGATTTGTAATCAATGTATTGTGCATGAAAGTAGTTTCAGAGACAAATAAAAACTGTCATTGTTTGGTGATTATTAATAGTGGAGAGCTGCAACGGATTTAGAACTGTCTCTTCACCTGTAAATCATGCTTAATGACCTGACACTAGTGTCGGGTCAATTAGCACATTAAGCATCAAAGGATCTTAATTAATGTTTTTTGTCACTTTACCCAATAAACACCAAATGTTAATTATGTTACATCACTCTTTTTAAACTGTGCCTTTTCTTCAAGATTGCTGAATTGTTATGTAATATCAATATATAGCAGTAAATGCTGGGCAATTTCCTCACAGATAAGGAGACTTGCAGCAACAGAAATGTGGTTCTACAGAAGGATGCTGAGAATATCATGGACAGAGCATGTGAACAACAATAAAGTTTTAAGGAAAATGGGAACAGAAAGGGCAGAAAGGTAATTTCTGTGATGCATAATTAGGAAAGAGGGCTTGGAGAAAAAACTCACAGGATATACTGAAGCCTATAGAGACAGACGAAGAAAACAAATACACTTCATAATGAGCTTTCTAAAATGAATGGTAGAACAGGGAGGAAGAGGTGGAAGGATGAGGAACAGAAAAATGTTACTAAGAGCTCCAAAGGATAGGTAGTTGTAGAGAGCCATATCCGCTTACATTCTGAAGAGACAGGCACATAAAAAAAAAAAGAATATATTAAAAATAGCAAATCTAACATCCTTTGAGGTTGATAACATCTTTTCATGTTACATACAGATGTTGATACTTTGAATGATATATTACCACTGCCATGATGGGGAAAGATTATATTAAATCAATTGCTAGATCTGCGACTAGTAAAGTTGGTTGATTGCATTGTACTAGAAAATTTTTCTCTGCAGAATCTATCTTACACCTTTAAAGGTCTACCATTTGTCCGTGCATAGAATATTGCTGCCACATATTGTCTGGTATTGTCTATGTATTTAGAGATTCATGACAAAATCCAAAAAAAAGAATCTGCAATGTTATTGGTTCTGATCTGGCATCTCAGCTTCAGTCACTTTCTCACTACTGTAACATAGCTTCCTTGTGTCTTTTCTATAAATATTTTCATGGTTATCCTTTTGGTGAGCTTTCCTTTTTGGTACCTTGACGCTAAAAATTTAAGTGCAGTACTAGATTTTGAGCTAGGTCTTGTTGTTTTATGGTTGAAATTGCTAGTAACCACTTGTGTCTTAGTGGCTTTATTGCCTTGCTTAGAGTGAGGACCTTTATGAAAAGTTTTGATACTTTGTTATATATTGATATTACATACAGATATTGATACATTTTGACCATTCGTGTTACATGCTAGAAAGAAATAATCCTTAAAGTTAACTTTTCTTTTTATTCCATTTTTTTTTCAGAGTATGCAGACTCAGGACCGCTACTTGTTTTTATTTGATGATGTTCTTTTGGTTGCTAAGCAAAAGTAAGTTGTGAGGAAAGCCAAATAGCTCTACCTCAGAATTTTTTTCTTTAAATTTAAAGTTTGTCTTTTTAATTTCCTTCTTGACTCTTTTTGATAAGTACAGACTAAAGTAAACACTTCTGTTATTCATAGACATTATAGGATAAAGATGGATGTTACTATATATGATGAAATTTAAATACAACCTGTTAAGGGTCTTCTACATCCAAACTGTTATGCATCATTCACATAAGAGATATAGACAATATGAATTCAATTCTAGGCCTCACCATTTCAATGATGAACTAATTAGATGCAACTGCCACTACTACTCTAATAGTTACTCTTCTCTCACTTCCCATCTCTGGAACTTCCTTCTGATTTCTTGCTTCCCTGATAACTGCAATCTTCAAAAATTTAAATGTAATGCCAACCACCAACTTTTGTCTTCTTGAATCCTGTTCCTTTTTTTGTCCTTTCCTCAGTCCTTCCCATTCTCAGTCTTCTCTTTCACTCCTTGTAACCCCCTGCATTCTTGTGGCATTATTGCCTTGGGGTTGAACAATACAAAAAAAATGATGATTCTCAGTTGTAAAATATAAAAACAACCTGTACACTGGGATAAAAAGCAACAAAAACAAGATGAAAGACAAATTAACCTGAAATGAATAAAAAATAAATTTAGCTCCCTTTTGGAAACATTTAAATTCTTTTCTTTCTGATAAAAAAATATATTAAGTCTCTAAAATTATTTCTTTTTATCAAAGAATTTCAAATATTTAACATATTTCTGTTAGTAAGTTTCCCCCGTTTAAAATCCAATAATGATCTTTTTTAAAGAATTGTGTCAATTTTATTTTGTAGGTCAAACAACCAGTTTAAACTGAAGTATTATGTGCGTATATGTGAAATGTGGCTGGCCACTTGCTTGGATGAGATCTCTGAAGTCAGTCATGACAAAGAGAAATCATTTGTGATTGGCTGGCCAACACTTAACAAAGTGGCAACATTCTCATCAAAAGATTTGAAAGAGAAATGGCAAACAAGATTAAAACAGTTAAGTAAATAAAATAAAGCTGTGGTTGTTGTGAGTGTTTGTTTTGGTGATTTTTGTTGTTGTTATTGTGTTTCGGTGGTGGTTGTTGTTATTGTTTTTTGTTATGGTTGTTGATATTGTGTTTTTGTTGTACTAGCATGTGTTTTGGTGGCTGTTGTGTATTTTGGTTTATTGTTATTGTGTGTTTTGGCTTTTTGTTGTTTTGACTTGTTGTGTATTTTGGCTTATTGCTATTTATTGTTGTGTGTTTTGGCTTTTTGTTGTTTTGGCTTGTTGCTGCTGTGTGTTTTGGCTTGTTGGCCATTGTATGTGTATAGGTGTTTTGGTAGTTATTGTGTTTTGTCACATATTGTTTGTGTTTTGTTAACATTGTCTTTCTTGTGGTTGCTTAATTTGTTTTGCTTTTAAAAAATATCCCACAGACTTGTAAAGTCCCCATTAAAAAAGAATTGTTTGAAATTTAATAAAATTATCAGTTTCAATGTCATCAAAATGAATTTTTTCATGTTCCGATTTTAAATAAGGCTTGGAGAGTTTAACACTCACAGAGCACATCAAAAGGACAAGAATCTGGGGAAAGTAGCAAGTTACTTGAAAAATATTAACAAATAGATCAAGTGGCACAAACAAAGAAGGGTCATCAAAGTATTGCTGAAAACAAAAAAAAGACTGGAGACTCATGTTCACTAAAAGATAGGGCATATAAACAGAATAGAATCATTTAACAATTTTCAGTGGTGAATCTAAAGAATGAATAAATGAAATAATGATTTTGAATATCTCAAGAGACTATGACTACCAAATACAGTCAGTATAATACTACACAGTATTTTACATGATACAACAATGGAGTGGGTATTATATTTTATAAAATATGAAAAATGAAAAGACAAAACAAAGACAGTATTTATTATTTCATCAGGATAGGCAAAGATAACATTTGTTACCCATAATGAATATTTATTCATGAAAACAAAAAGAAACTGTTTATTTTTTTATCTATCTATCTCTCTCTCTATATATATATATATATATATATATAATTCTGTGACTTCTGTTAGTCCATTCATCCATTCATCACACCCTCTAAAATAGCCATACATTGACTGATTGATTTTGGGGACAAATGGAAACAAGTAAGAGGATACAAATTATAGTTGGTTTTACTATGGTGCATAAAAACCATGAATTAGGGTTTTTTGTTGAAGTATTTTTCCAAACAGATCAGCTTATTTAAATTTTATTTATTGGTTTGCAAAATTGAACAAAAGGTAGTTTTTAAATTCTGACAAAAACTGTTAGTGATAACTTCAACAATACTAAATACTGTGAGGATTTTAACATGCATCAGTGTGTTGCAAAAGAAATTCTTGATATTAAAACAGAAAGAACAGATAACTCTTGCTCAATGTAAAAGAAAGAATTAAAATCAAAATTCTTATTCTGGGTTATGTATCTGGATACATTGGAGACCAAGAATTAAAAGATTTAAATTTAAATTTAAATCACTCCTGTATCGTCAGCAGTTCTTGCAAAATTGGAACTGGTGTTGGTGGAATTTCTTCTACGCCCCTCCTTAATATATAAGACTCCATCATTAAAACCATTTTTATTCTAAAAAAAAAAAAAAAAATCCTTTTGATAAACAAAACTTATGAATTACATTGTTTTTTTTACTTTTTTCCACTTTGTCATTAAAACATATAGTCTGATATATAGATCTGTACATCATATAAATAATATATATATATATATATATATATATATATATATATATAATTTTTATATATATATATATATATATATATATAATTCTTTATATTATATATATATATATAATTCTTTATTTAGACAGAAATCCTTCATTTATACATGTTTCATAAAAGATGACAGATAAGGTATTGTGATTAAGTTTTTTTTCTTGTGTTCAAACAAGTGTTTTCTTTTCTGAACGCAGGGTGTGTAGAAACTGTCCAAATGTTCTGTAATGCCGAGTGCTTTTGGTTATACTTTTAGCCATTATCAAGGATGATATTATTTTTACTTTTTAACTTGATGTATTGGTTGTGTGTATGTTTCTTGATTTATATGGATGTTTTATTTTCTGAACACAGCACATTGTGGACATGTCCATAGTTAATATTATTGAGTGTTGGCTATTCTTTTTTATTATTAAGGCTTCCATGATTTTTAATCTTTTTTACATGTGGATGAGGTTATTATACTTGTATTTTCTTCTGGTATGTTTCAGATGGAATCTGGTAAGTTTGTGTGTGTGTTTAAATGGGTTCTAATATAGTTGTGATCAGATAGGTGTAACATAAGACATCTGGATAGGCATGTAGCAGTGTGACCAATGTAATTGTTTATGAATTTGGTTTGATCAGGAACACAGTTCCTGAAAGCGCATTTGAACTCATAAATAATGTTCGTTCTTTGTAATTTGGTGTGTTGTTATTTTTGAGGGTAGCTGTTTTAAATTTTTTTATAGTAGATAATTAATTTGATTTTCTTGTTTGGGTCAATTGGGGTTGTGTATTTCTTTATAATATTTTTAAGTGAAGATTCATCTTCTTTGTAGTTGATGTGCATTTGGCATTTGTAGAAAATATTTGTTATTTTTGACTGTGTGTTCACTATCATCATTATTTACTTTTGGAAGAAATAGTCTAATTTGGTGGTTGATAAGGTAGTTAGGGAAACCATTGTTAACTAGTGTCTGTTTTGCATTATTCAGTTTGTTATATAGGAATAAAGTGTCACTGCCAACACTTGAGTTTGAACATAGATCACCAGTGAGTAAACACAGGTGATCCCATTATTGAATTAAGTGGATTACGTGACCATGGAGAAACACATAAGTAGAAAATCACATGACATCTAAGTGAATCCTATCCTCTATTACTATTCAGATCATTATTTCTAGTCTATCCTCTATACTATATAGACTGCTATTCACTATACTATTTCTCTTTTCAGATCACTATACAGATTATTATTCAAGCAAGTACTATTAGCAAGAGTGATATTCGAAGGTGCCTGACACCAGCATTGTTCAATGGCATATTATAGTTGTATCTGTGATTACAAAGTCTCTACTACAGCGAGCCTTACAAAAGTGACAATGAGTATTTGTTGGCATCACAAAAGTGGCAACAAGTGTGCTCCTTTTAGGAAATTTTTTATCACTGCTATTTTGTATCTGAGTGGGCATTCACTCTTAAAGATAAGATGGCAAGAGTTTCTGCTAGTGGATTTTTATACTATGAGGTGGTAAAAGTGTTGTTACTGTATTCTACGACAATGTCTAAGAATGGTAATTTATTTTTTTGACTAAGTACGTAGGTAAAATTAAGGACAAAGTTTTTTCAAATGTCGTCTTGAGAGTATTTCTTCTGTGCTTTTCATTAAAATTAAAATATCATCTATGTAGTGGACATATTTTTTTTAAATAGAACACAAGAAAAATTAAATAAAAAGCTTAATCACAGTACCTTGTCTGTTGTCTTTGATGAAGCATATATATATATATATATATATATATATATATATATATATCCACTCTTATGCTACAAAGACAAATTGAAAGACAACTTGAAATGTCTCAACTTTGATTTGAAAACCTGGGAGGCCCAAGCAACAAACTAAAAGGAGTGGCATGAGACATGTTTCATTAAGTTAAATGTTTTTGAAGAAAGTTGACTCAAGCACTGTGATCAGATTCGTCAAGTAGAGATGCTATCAAAATCCTGTTTTAACAAATTTCACCTGTCAGTGTGGCTAGTATCACACTTAAGAAAGAACAAATGAAATGTCTTTCCCTTACCTGATTTTCTCCACAATAGCCCCTGCTAGCATGCATAAGTGTAAAACGAAAGCCACCGTTCAATGCTGATCCTCATTTGTCGTTCACGATAGGAGAGTCCACTATATATATTAAACAAATTAGCAAACCATACCCTCCAAAATAACTGTTAGAATAATACTATAGACTAACCACAATGCATCACTGACCTGTATATATAAAAAATTGAGCAAAAACACAGTGCACATGGCCTGATGATTGTGTTTAGTACTTAGACTGTCATTTCTGTATGTTGACTTCAATGTCTACTCTAATATTTACATACGCTCTATCCCTAATATTGAGCACTTAAACACATAAATATAGCATACCTTAAAACTATATTTTATCATATATATATATATATATATATATATATATATGGGATAACTATATATAAATTTTTATATATCAAGAACAGTTTTGAAAGAAAAGATGTATGACAAATTAGAAAAAGATACTGTGATATGTCTCATCCATTAGAACTTCATTGCTCCATTGGACTAGGCTTCTTTACACACGTGTATGAATGAGAGATGTTGGGAATTTTAAAATTTAGAAAGAATATATATATATATATATATATATATATATGCACTCAACTCTTCTGTTGTTTTTGATGTACAAGAATACACCAGCTCAGTTCTTAGAACTGAATTGCCAGACTAACCAGACATATGATTCGATTCTATTGGAGAAGTCTTGTGCAGAACCAACCACACTTTCTGGAAGAGTTGAATACAGAGAACTGTTCCACACCATGCCACAAGATCACACAAACAACCCGACTCAGGTTTTTAACTTAGTGTTGTTTTTCTTCTACACTGGTTTCCATCCAAGGCTATAGAACCCAATCTGTCCTGCTATTTACCCATATATGGAGTGGGGAGAAGAGATGAATTCATACCTTTACCAAGGATATCTGTACACAAATGAATGTAATGAACTAGGCTATCTGACTCCTCAATCTGAGCCACTATCCATTACTTCACCATGCTTCCATATATATATATATATATATATATATATATATATATATATATATATATATAATCAAACAGGTAAATATAGGTAAATGTAAAACCAAACGTTCATATACAAAAACAGATATATACACCCTACAATGTAAGAAAAAACAGTGCTCAATGTTAAATAAAATCCTAAAAAATGATGACAAATACTAAAAGCCTTAACCAGAAAAACAAACAGTCCAAGAATAAAATTTCATTCAATTTAGGAATTAACATACTAAATATATTTCACAAAATTTGCTTACAGCCATATCACGTTGAAACATTGGTTCCTGTATGATCACTGAAGTTAAGCATTATTGATCATGGTCAGTACCCAAATGGGTGACCATTTGAGAATACCAGTAAGCTTGGATGAGCAGGTGGTGCAATGGATAATAGCTTAGAGCTGAGTTCCAATTCTTCTTGAGTTCTTGAGGCTTTCAATGAGTGAAGCCTAAGAGTCTTGGCACTACAGAATCACAAAGAACTGTATCAAATAACAGAAACCACATCATTTGAGGATCACCAACAGCAACAAATAAATTGGATAGCACATGTAAGTTGAGGAGAAAATAACATAATCAAGATGTTAGCATTCCACATCACTTCAAATAAAAGGTTAAGAAGGAAACCTCCAACTATACAGGAAAGAGCAATAACAGCTACAGCAGTTGAAAAACCTATTTTCATGAAAAATTGTTTTAAGAGCAAGATTTTTAAATTTTAACTGAAAGTAGTATTAGCTGCTTGATCAATGAATGCCAAATGTTTCCTTGTAGGGAAATGGCTAATATTACCATTACCAATATTAAATGTTACCCTACAAGGAAATATTTGGCATTTACTGACCGAGCAGCCAGTACTTTTTTTTTTGGTTAAAACTTATAAAATTTTTCTTTTCATACAATTTCTTAGGAAAACAGGTTTCTCAAATCCAGTAGCTATTATTGCTCTTTCCAGTATTGATGGGGGTTTCCTTCCTAACCTTCTATTTGAAGTGGTGTGGAATGTTAACATATTGATTATGTTGTTATTTCCTCTTTGACTCATGTGTGCTATCCATTTGAGTTGCTGTTGATAGTCCTCAAGTGGTGTGGCTTCTGTTATTTGATACAGTTCTTTGTGATTCTCTTGCAGCAGTTCACAAATTTCAAAATAGGATGATCTTTGCCAAGTCTTTCGGACATTACTCAAATGGAGATTTAGAAAGTTTGAAGAAATGATACAAAGAAACGTTATAATTTGAACATTTAGCTATATATAATCAGAATTATTTCCTTGTGAGCTGACATAATTTAATCTTTCTCAATTCATGTCTTTTTTTTATTCTTTCTTCATTCTTTGTAGACTGATTGATGAAAAGAAAGAAAATGAGAAGCTAAAAGAAATACAATTAAACATTCAAAATACAGACCAAAAACAGGTTTGTGACAATTTCTTTTACGAGTTTTTAATATTTCAATTTCAGAAGGAGCCCTTTTTGTTGGAACAACTGATTTATCATGATTACTTATACTTCCTCAGCTATGAACTCTGTAGGTCTTAGAGAGGATCATCCTTTTCCAAACCTCGTAGACTGGTACTACAGTATCACAACAAAAGAACTGTACCAAATAATAGAAACCACATCACTTGAGGACTTTCAACAGCAGCAACATGTAAAATGGATAGCATATGGAACTCAAAGAGAAAATAATGGCATAATCAAGATGTTGACATTCCACATAACTTCAAACAAAAGGCTAGGAAAGAAACCTCCATCAATGCTAGAAAGAGTGATAACAGTGGACTTGAGAAACCTATTTTCTTGAAAAATTATTTTTACAGGATGTTTTCATAAATTTTATCTGGCAAATGAGAATGATTTCATAAATTTTAACTCGTGTCTAATGGTGGTTAATGAATGAGAATGTTTCCTTATATGGAAAAATAATGTTTTCCTTATATGATAAAAAAAAAAAAAAAAAAAACATTTCTTGTTTTATGTGTATAAACTGGATTGTGCAGACCCTTGTTTTAGATTGGGGATTAGCAACATTCAGCCCCCAGGCCACATTCAGCTCACAAAGGATTTTTGTCCTACCTGCCAACTTAATACCTGAACACTAATTATCTAATTAATTTGCTGAATAAGTGGCAGAAAAATATCCATTAGAGTTAATTGATTTATAATGTGAAAAAAAATTTTAAATCAAAATTTAATTCTGAATCCACTGCTGAGTTCTACAAGAAATATATTTTGTCAAGCAGAAAATATAAAAGCCGATTGAATAATGCAAAAAATAATGGTATCATTATTTGGAAGTACACATGCTTGTGAACAACTTCTTTCAAAAATGAAATATACTAAAAATCATTTAAGAACAAAGTTGGGTGATGACCACCTGGATGTTTTTTTTTTTTTTGCTCCTGTTATCAATGAATATTTCACCTGATGTCAAGAAGTTTTCGAACAATAAACAGAAACAAGTGTCTCATTAAATAATTTGTTATTTCTAACTGTATTTTATTTGTAGTAAGGAATCGGCATTTTTTTATTGATTGTATTAGTTGTTATCCTGTTATTACTGCAGTAAAATAAGGAACCTTGTTTAAATAATATAACATGGACTTATGTTGTCTTTCTTTAAACCTCCAAACCAAGATAGCCTTTTGGATGGAGTGGTCTGAGGTTGAAACAATTTATTATAGTTTCTTTTTATCTTGTGGTCCCACTCTGAAACACTGCACAGCTTTCTGGCCTGCTCTCTCCAAAAGGTTGCTGACTTATGTTCTGGCTCAACAAAAAGAAGTGAGAAAGCCTCTGATTGGTTAGAAATTGAGATTTGCATTTATCTGAAAATTTTATTTATTCTTGCTGGAAAATGTGCATTGGCCCCTATGCACAGAAGCCAATTTTTATCTGTTTGATTTCTGCATTTGAGTTTTTCACATCTAACTGCTGCTTCTGCTACACTACCTATTCTATTCTATGCTATGTATGTATTCTTATAGTGAAAATTAATTATAGAAAAAATTGTTCTTTCTTCTTCAAGAATTTGTTGCTAGTTTACTTAATGTTTAAAATTCATATTTCATTGAATGTCATATGCATAATAGTGCACTTAAAAATATATCAGTATTAAAATTTCATGTCATATTTCTATAGTCTGGTAATTTGTATGTATTCTTCAATTGTCTGCAGGATGATCTCTTGGTCTGATCACAAATATGGCAACAGCATCATGCACCTATCTGTGTGTCTGTGTGTGTCTTGTTCTCTGTCTGCCCTTTCACTCCCTGGGCCTATTCCATAAATAACCATGGGTAGGCTGGTTCCCAGACAGGATTTTGGATTTAAGTGGGAAGGTATATCATTGGTTGGTAATGACCACTGAGGATGTTTAAAGATATGGTGTCTGTTGTTATGCAGATGTTGTATAGATGTTTGTGTATGTAGGTAGTGACATGTCCAACTGGCACTGTCAAGCAGCTATAAAAATGGGACACTGTCTTTCTCTCTTTTATCTTTTCTTTTCCTCCCAGCATGCTGGAGTAATAACACTAACCAGAACCATCTCCCAAATATGGGGATATTTTTTCCTTTAGAGACTGAAGCTTTTCACACATACACACTCACACACATGTGTGTGTATCATCCATATAATTTCAAACTTTTACATGCCAACTAGTGTCTTTTGTCTATCTTCTTACTCAGTTGTATAAAAACAAAAATATAAAATATTGCCTTTCCTGAAATTCATTCATTTCCTTATGCTTGTCATTTACTTGGGCAAAATATTGTTGCCACGTTTTTTTTTTTTTACATCATGTACAATGCCCAGGGGTGGGGGTCACTCGAAGTAGAGGGTTAATGAGTAGTTTATATGGATATGAGAGGAAGATAATGATTAACTCTAGACTCGAATAGGTTAAGACTAGTGATTGGGGTAACTTACTCTTGCCGATGGAATACAGAAGGAATGTGGGTGGTTTACTATAATGTAAGTGGCATGATGTGTCCTATCCATGAAGGTTAGATCTGGTGTAACCAAGAAATATAATTTCTCTGAGTACTTTTAATGGAAGCAGTGAGAGGCTCATCACACCTTGGAAAATAATTCTTCAATAAGGACTCAGAGAGTCTTTTAGACTCTATCAAGACTGGAAAGTGAAGACTGGGCAGCTTACTTTTGTTCTAATTGGAAGGAGCAATTTCTGCAACATTTGGCAAGTACTGATGTGATTTCACCATGCACCTACTGCAACAGTCTCAAAAACACTGTCAATATGGCTCATACAGTAGGTACAAATAGCTAGACAAGAGGAAATACCTTTGCTTGAAATGCATGGTAAGTTACTGATGATGAGGAAGATAAAAATCAATAATAGTATTTCTTTTTGTTGGTTACAATTGTCTTTAAATAGCCATATTGCATTTTAGGAGGAAATTTTTCTTTTAAATTATATAAGATACCAAAATAGTAGCAGACTGATTTTATTCAGAATGAAATTTAAAAAAAAAATGTGAAAAAATCTATACTTTGGTTATTCCAGAATAACACACACACAAATAAGTGGGAGCGGGGGAAAATGTATGACAAAGTGGAAAAGGTTTTGTGTGATACTTTTTGTCCTTTTGGACTTCATTGGACTAAATTTGTTACATTGGTACAACTACACGTGCACAAGGACAAGGGATGCTGGGGATTTTAAATTTAATTCTTTTTTGTATATAATCTTGGCAATTTCATTGAGATTCTTTTTCTTTTTGTTTCCATCCTTTTTGTTATTAGATATCCCACACTGTAATAATAGAAGATCTGCCAGGAATGATGAAATAATGTAAGAGATAGGGTGCAAATTTACTGTAGATGACACATTGTGATCACTCTCACACACACACACACACACACATATATGATAAAATATAGTTTTAATGTATACTACAGTCAACAATAAAATTATTTGTACAACCTTCAATTTTGAATATTTTTATCCATTTTTCAGAATCTAATACTCTATTCAGTTTTCAGAACAATAGCTTAAAATTTGGCCGGCGAATTATGCAAAATAAGAAAAGACAAAATTATTCACAAAGTAGAAAATATTCTTTTAAATTGATTGATTCGTGTAAGTATAAGTAATTGATTTAAAAGAATATATTCTACCGTGTGAATAATTTTGTCTTTTCCTATTTTGCATAATTCACCTATCAAATTTGGCATATTTCAGCTATTGTTCTGAAAATTGAGTTTTATATTCATTTTTGTGCTTAACATATAAAAAACCTGGCATCATATGGGCATTAGATTCTGAGAAATGGATAAAAATATTCAAAATTGATGGGTGTACGAATAATTTTGTCATTGACTGTATAGTTATGGGTTGAAGTGCTTAATGTCAGGAATAGAGTGTATGTAAATATAAAAGTAGACATTGAAGTCAATATCCAGAGGTGACAGTTAGTTTCATGCTAAATGCAATCATTAGGTTGTCGCTTCTTGGTGCTGACTTCATTGTACACTTTTATATATATATATATATATATATATATATATATATATATTCTTGAATATGAATAATATTGAATGTCAATAGCATGACTTACAATTTCATGCAGTTCCTGCAATCTTCAGGTGCAAATTTTGAATCATCACCACAACAACACAAACTCTATAACAGTTAAAACATATTTGTACCTGAAGATTACATGAACTGCAAGAACTACTCCAAGTCATGCTATCAACGTTGGATATGTATATTCACTAATATATATTTATAGCTCTGTTTCATAACATTGAGCACTGTATTTATAACATCTGAGGAAGAAATATATTTATATGTATATGCAAGTATATGTACTTGTATGTAGATTTTTCATCCTACCCATTCTTTTATATATATATATATATATATATATATATATATATAAAATGAAATGTTCAAACTGATCTTATCAAAGTTTGGCAGAAATAGTATCTATTCAGGGGTTGAAAGAGAAAATTATTATAGAATTGCGCATTACCTTTTCATGTGGTTGAGCCAACAAACATCTTAGTAAATAAAATCCTCCCATATTCATTGTGTTAAAAAAAAAAAAAACTAACACGGATTTATGATAGCTTATTCCTAAAATTTTGCTTGAAGATGAAACGGGACTAAACGCCTCAATTCAACTTAATTTTAATAATTATCTGGATGGTTTTGGCTCTCGTTTTTGAAACATGAAAACTCTTATGTAGCGAAGGAATCATTTTTAAACAAAAAATATTGCTATATATATATATATATATATATATATATATATATATATATATATATAGAGAGAGTGTGTGTGTGTATGTAGTCCCTTCCCCAAATTTAGAATATTTTGATTTTTTTTTGTCATTAAAATACTGATTTGGGGAAGTGGGTGTAGTCAAGAACCTGTCATAAATGAGTGTGTGCATAAATTTTTTCTGAGTAAGTAAGAAAAAGTTATTTTGTTATCATTACTATTTTGTACATATTTAAACTAATCTAATCTCTCATGTCTATATTAAGACATAAAAATAAGAGAATAATTTCCTAAAAACATTTATTGTTATTTTTTTTTTTCTTTCAGACCATAACAATGCTCGTTCAAAATACATCTACGGTTAAAGAGGTTGTGAAAAAGTGTTTGGAGCAATTTCAAATTTCTGTAAGTTTTTTAATTTAAATAAGAATTTTTAAAATGAAAATATCTGGCATCTTTGAAGTATTTAAATGTGTCTTTATGGTTCTCATTTTAAATTGTAATGCCTGAAAAAACAAAAAAAACATTACATTTGAAGCATAGAAATAAGTATCATCCTTTGGTTATTAAATTCTTCCTTTTTGTGTCCTTTCAGTACATGAGAATTCATGGCTCTCCACAACTTCCTATTCTTTTTAGCTCTTAGCAGTATTTATCTCCTTACTATCCCTCCCTCTCCCTGTTCTGTCATCTACAAGCTAGTAGGTATGTGATCATGGCTCTCCACAACTTCCTATCTTTCATAACTCTAAACAATGTTCAATTTTTTAATATCTCTCCAGCTCCTTGTTCTTCTATTTACACAAGCTTGTTAGGTGATCATGGCTCTCCACAACTTCCTATCGTTTGTAGCTTTAAGCAATGTTTGTTTTTTTTTAATATCCCTCTCACTCCCTATTCTGCTATCCATTTATACAAGCTTGTTAGATAGGTGATCATGGCTCTCCACAATTTCCTATCCGTTGTAGTTCTAAGCAATGTTTGTCTCCTTACTACTCATTTCCTGTTCCTGTCATCAATTTACACAAGCTTGTTAAATAGGTTATCCTCTATTTCTCTCTGCACCTCTTGTCTTTAATATGTCCTGTGAGTGTTAAATCCTCCAAGCCCTCTTTCCACATTATAAATTGTAAATGGTTTAACTATGAAGATGTATGCATTTTTTTTATAGAAATGCACTGAAAATAATTGTATTGTAAAAATAAATTATAAGTGATTTTACTATGAAAATGCATTGTACATGATTTTAGTATAAAAATGCACTGAAATTATGTTTATTATAAAAATAAATTGCAAAAAAATAATATTAGGTTAGTTATGATTTCTTTTTGTCTCTTTTGCCTTCAATATGTCATGTGAGTGTCAAATTCTCCATGCCCTCTTTCCTTATTATGTGTCACAGAAATTCCACATCTTTTTCTGATTCTAAGTAAAGGTGTCATTTTGTTTCTATTTTCCTTAAAACTTCCTTGTTGCGCACATGCTCCATCCATGGTATTGTCAGCATGTTTCTATAGAACCACATCCCTGTTGTCTGAAGTCACGTCTTCATCTATGAGGAAATTGTCCAATGTTCATTGCCATATTAAAGGACTGATATCCCAAAGCAAAATTCTGTCCTTTGTAATTCTCAGCAACATTTGTCCCTTTATCATTCTTACCAGTCCCTGTCTGCCATTCATTTTCATAAACTCGTTAGGTAACTTATTAGCTTTTTACTTTTGTCTCTCTTGACTTCTATATGCGTTAAATTTTCTAAGCCCTCCTTCATTTTGTGCCATAGAAATTTCAATTGTGTCTTACATATCCAAAACACAAATATCCTTTTTCGTTCTATCTTCCTGAAAACTTCCTCATTGATAAGATGTTCAGTCCATGGTATTCTAAACATCCTGTTGTAGAATCATATATATTTGTTGCTTCAAGGCAATATGTTTTTTTTAATTATTTCACACCAAGTAAAACACTAACACATAGTAGTTTACTGAGTGTGTGAGAATATGAGAAAAAAATATTAAGGAGAGGGAACAATAAAAAAAAACCAAAAAAAAACAGGAATTAAGAAGACAAGAAGATAATGATTGATATTGCATTTAAATTTTTAAAGATCAAAGTTGACTGGAAAGCAAGAAGCTGTAAGGAAGTTCCACAAGTGAGAAGTGTGAGAAAAGAAACTATTGTCATAGAACTTATGATTACCTCTAGCAATTTCAACTATAAAGTAATGAGACTTTGCTGCCAATCTAGTATTGTGCTTAAATTCATAACATTTAGGTACCATAGAGGAAATTTCTTCAGAACAATTAGCATGAAAGTATTTATTGAAAAGGCATGGGAAAATTATTTTAATGGTAGTGGGAATGTGACTGAAGCTAGGATGCCAGGTCAAGCCCAATAACATTACAGATACTTCTTTGTATTTTATCAAGTATCTAAATACATAGCAGAAGAACCAGACCAGATGCATGGATGAATGGTAGACTTATCACATTGAAACACCAGTTCCTGTACATTCACCAAAGGTGGTGTAATGGATAATGGCACAGAAGTGGAAATTGAAGAGATGAGTCCCAATTCCAATAGGTTTGTTATATTCACTTATGTACAAATACCCTTGGAAAAAGTATGAATCCCCGTCTTATCCCCTAATAGTTGTGGGTTAATTAGTAGGACTTCTATCAGTAAGTCATTATTATATCCAAAATTGTTTAGAATCTAAAAATATTTTCTGGCTTTAAATAACCTGAAAAAGGGTTGATAAGTTGTAAAAAATAAAAACAATCAAAAAATGTGTTGCTTCAAGTCTCCTCTTTATCTGTGAGGAAATTGTCCAGCATTCACTGCTATTAAATTGCTATTGTCATATTATTCACTTGTTAACTGATCTGAGGAGGTCAAATGAAAGGCTCAAGTCCACAAATATGGTGCCACTATCATGACAAAGTATTCAATGAGACTGAACTGGTCAGCTATGAAATCTGACCAATAGTGAGCATAATAAAACCAATGACAAGATTCTGTTACCAACGTATCAGTCAGAGATGGTTAAAGAATGCTTAAGTTTATTGTTGCAGACTGCTTGTAGACCAAAACCATTGCAAGAAATGCTGCACTTTCAGTAGCAAGTGTTCAAACAAACCACATTCCTTAGTTCCACCAGTTCTAACCTTCATGGCTAAAATTTGTCATACCATGCCCATTGTAGCAAGCCACCATAATTCCCTTTGTATTCCATTGGTGAGGTGTAAGTTTCACTTGAGCAGCTTCTTTTCATGAAGTTTTGCTTTGTGGAACCAACTCCCAAGAGGATGCTTCCCAATTACAATTTTAACCTGTTCAAATATAGGGTTAACCATTATCTTCCCCAACAAACACCCATGAACGCCTCTTGCTCTGCAACCTCTACCTTGAGTGGCTTTTGAGTCTTGTACTGTGAATATCATTATAAAATAAAATTCATTTACATTATTTAGACTCAGACTATTGACCAATCTTTATTATTATTATCACAATGTTTCAGCTGTTGGGCCCTTCAGCCTTCATCAGGTAGTTGTTGATCTGGTCAGACACCAAGGAATTTTGAACTAAAACCTTTATTTAATCAATAAGAATAGATAGGTTCCTCCCCAGTTTTTGAACAGGAATAGATGTTTATCCCTTGTTTCCTGTTTAGGATTGAGTTTCTGCTTCCTTCTAATGTCTACTTCGGCTGTATACTTCTAACATCTCCACCTAAATTCTGAAATTTTATTTACTATCTATTTATTTATTTTTCTCAGTAGGAGTAGATAGGCTTACCTATCATCTGGTTCACATTTCTTCCCTGTCTTTTGAACAGGAGTAAAGGTTTATCCCTTGTTTCTTGTTTAGGTTTCCAGTTCCTTCTAAAGGCTTTTTATTCTCATTCATACCTCAGTAGCCTCTTGCGTCTTAGTGGCATTATCACTTTGATTAGGGGGAACTGATTAAAAAAAAATCTCCTGGGTAGGTCGATTGTTCTCATCCATTGTCCATATCTAGCCTAGCCTAGTGGATGAGTTTATTGGTTCATGAATTTGGCGACATGACAATTGTAAGTTCAGGGAGTACAAACTTAGTTCTGGGAAAACAGGGCTAGCAATGACTGAGACAATGACAGCAGAATGCAAACAATCTACCTCTGTATAATAATGACCTTCTTGCAAAAATATTGCTTTTAAATGGAAATAACTAATATTTATTATTAGTTACCTTCCATTAATACTATTTGTCAAATGATTCTTTTAATTTATTGTTGTGTGCAAATTAAAAATTTGGGATCGTATTAAGTGGAAGAAAATCAGAAAATTTAATAAACGGTAGTAGTATTCGAAAAAAAATAGAAAATCTAATAAATGAAGAGTTTTGATAAATAAGAGTTTGGGAAATTATTTGGTACCACCAAATAAAATGGATCCTCGTTTTAATGTTTTCTATCGCTACCACCGTTTTAAAATATTTTCCAAAACTCATGGAATTATTTGTTTCAAACGAAAACTTCAGTACTTATTTGTGAATTAATGAATTATATAGTGAACAGCTTATTTTATTAGAAACTTTTGGGGAAAAGTGGGATCTGTTTCCCATCTTTTCGATATCTCGTGTTCAGTGTACTTTTTAATTTGAGTAGTGGTTGTCAATTCTTTGTTTTTTTTTTTAAGTTAAAGAAAAATCCCTATAGATGTTATTTCGGTAAAATATTTATACAATAATCAAGTGTGAAAATATAAAAAAATCGTGCCGTATTTTACCAAACATAATTCAATAAAACACATATTTTTCTAACAGTACAACTTGCATAATTTAAAAAATAAAACACTATTTTATTTCAGATTGGACAAAGAAAAAAGGTAAATTTGCTTTTTAACGCCCGTGTGCTAAATATCTCTTAAAATTTTCCAAATCATCACAATTCCATGTAAATGTACATGCTGAACTCGACTTAACAATTATGAAGAAACCTACCGTTTTTTGAAGTTATCGACGAGAAAAAATCGAACTTTTTGTTTGTCATTCACCCCCCCATTACTGTCATAATGTTCAGTAATACAGTGCGGGGTACTTCTGTTGGTGTAATCAGAAATTTTGGCCCATTTACTTCTTTTACAGACTTTCGGTGCAGAAAATCACTATGCACTACCATAAAGAAATGTAATTTTTTTTTTTTTTTTGGTAAGTGCAGTTTTATTCATAACAAAAACAAATTAAATAATACAATAGAACATTTTTTCCATGTAGAAGAACAATGACAAATTAAAAGAACAAAAGCTTTTTTTTTTTAAATTAAAAGTAGACAAACTGAAGTTAAGTTTAGGGTTAGGGTTCTTTCTGTGTAGAAAAGGGGACAAATTAAAAAAAAAAAATACAATAAACCGGGTTAAGTTTAGGGTTAGGTGTGGGGTGGGGTTTTCTTTCTTTGTAGAAAAGGGGGCAAATTAAAAAAAAACATTAAATAATACAATAAACCCTTATTTCATTTCCTACTTACCAAGTTTGCGCATTAATTATTGTTTGTTTTATTTTCAATTTCAAAATATAAAAAATGCTTTATTGTATTATTTAATTTGTTCTTTTAATTTTTCATTGCTATTCTACACAGAAAAATAGGTTTTATTGTATTATTTAATTTGTTTCTGTTTAAAGTTTTCTGTTATAAATAAACTACACTTATCCAAAAATAAAATTTGCTTTACAATAATGCGTAGTGATTTCAAAAAGAGACATAGCTGTAAATGAAGTAAATAGGCCAAAATTTCTGATTACGCCGATGGAAGTACTACGCAGTGAATCAGTGAACATTATGGCAATAATGGGGGATGAATGACCAACAAGAAATCCGATTTTTTTCTTGTCGATAACTCCAAAAAACAGTAGCTTTCTTCATAATTTAATTTGTTAATTCGAGTTCAGCATGTACATTTACACAGAATTGTGATGATTTGGGAAAATTCTAAGAGATATTTAGCACATTAACGTGTTTGGGCGTTAAAATGCAAATTTACCAAAAAAAAAAAACTGCATTTAATTTTAATTTTCAGAAGTGCTTTTTTGGTTTGTTTCTCTTAAATAAAAACATAATTGAAGTATCGAAAAATGTAAAGTTTAATGTTATTTCCAAGAGTGAACTGTTTTTAAAAGAATTTCACATTTTAGCTACTGTTAGATTATTTTTGGTATGGAAGTTCAATGTACGTGCTTAAAACACGATTAACATTTGAATCTGTCAGGTGCCATTATGAATGGGAGAGATGAATCTTTGTTGTGATTTTGATTGATTAATCAGGACTAAGGGAGACAATGAAGTATTTACTCAATACATCACTTCTCCTCTCTTGAATAAGTCTATATTTCTGAGATGAGGTATTATGTACACTATTTACATTATTCGGACTATTGTCCTCATCTTTGTCACCATATTTATTACGTTTCAGCCGTTGTACGCGCTGGCCTTGGAAAGTTGAAGTGAACCTTTTATTTCGCTCATTGGGGTAGACTGTTCTAGTTCCACATGCCATGTCTAATGGATGTCCGTTATCAGTTATCTCCTGTTAATTCCCCTCTCCAAGTTCTGCCTTAACCGGGTATTGAACTTACACTCTTTGGGTCCTGTCACTTGATCTAACTAATGCCTTTATCCACTGTGCCATGTGTTCATCTGTATATGAATTTCTGGATATTATAAACTAATGTCTTCAGTAACCTTTTATTACCAGTGCTCATATTGCAATTTTTTTCTGTTATCATTTCATGTTTTTACTAGAGCTCATATTGGAATTTTGTTATTATTATCACTTTTCTTTGGCACTTTGGTTAGTGTTTCTAATTAACTTTATGGGATTTAATTTTTGTGAACAATCACAGGGGTAGACTACCTCCATGTTTGGCATTATTCTGACCATATGCTTATGGGATTCTGTAACATGCATGTTTGTTGATTACATGACCACTTCTGGTCAAAGTTCTGTTAGAATCTGGCTGTGACTTATTTGACATGATCATAGCCATAATCTCTAACTTGAATGTTATGGGGGCTTACGAGAAATAACCATGTGAAGTCATAACTGTTACTTGAATGTTTTTTTTTTCTTTCTTAAAATTAATGAAAAATTGTTAGCTTAAAAGGGAAAAGTAAAAATGTAATTCATTCATTCTTAGATACAAGGTCTGATCAAAACGTATGGTGGGGACTGGTGCTATAAAAAGGAAGCTACAATATATCTCAATTCAGCATTTAATCTCCTTCAAAGTAGTCCCCTTTTGAAGTCACACATTTTCTCCAGTATTGTTTCTATTGATGGAAGCATTCCTGAAACCCCTTTTTTTGGCACAGTGAGCAAATACCATGTCGCATTCTTTTGGATTGTCTGAATGTTTTGAAATCTTGTTCCTTTCAAGTGGTATTTGGTTTTTGAAGAGAAAAAAAACCATAAGAGGCAAGATCTGAGAAATATGGTGGTTGCCAAACCTAGGGGATGGTGTTCTTGGTCAAAAACTGCTGCATAAGCCATGATCACTGATGGAACCCCTGTGGTGTGTGGGGAGATGACCACACTCTACGCACTTTCCTTCCAAGCACTGCTATAAGCAATGGAAGTGAGTGAGAATATTATAACTTATTGTATATGTGCGGCAGAGGTCAAGGTCATTCAGTGCAAAGTGGCTTCACACTGCGTACTTTAGCTCTGTTACCATAGCAACAGACCCAATATTTTTTTATCAGACCTCATATGTTAAAAACTGAATGAAGAATTTTCTTGTCTATTGTAGAAAGGAGAGATTGATGATTATGATTTGTGGTCAGCGTATGCAGACACTGATTCTGCTCCCTATCCCTTAATTGGTAAGTAATCAGTATATGTCCATGAATTTTTAATTTCTTTGATTTTTTTTTTTTTTTTTTTTACACAATAAGTCATTGGATGAAATATATTTTCTTTGTGATTGTAGTTGTTCCTAGCTCCCCGCTGATAAAGGGTGGTAACACCCATTAGGGTCCCAGCTATGGGCAAATAGTGAACCACAAAGCTAAAACAAAATACTTTGAAAGTGTGAAAGTGCATTTTTGTGGTAAAAATATCAAAAATGCTTTTTTATATAAGGAAATTTACTGGCAATACATATTTATAGTAAAATGACCAACAATACATTTTATAGTAGAATTACCAACAATACATTTTATAGCAAAATGACCAATGGTACGATTTATCTATAGTTGAAAACATACAATTGCATTCTAGATATATTTAGTTGAAGCCATAAAATTGTGTTCAAAATATTTAGGTTTCAGCATTAAATAACCCATACAGTTTGATATGCCACTAAACAAAATCAACCAACATGAAATAATTCTTTCATGATAGTAATCCTTATAATATCCTCAAAGAAATCAAACTGCATTCCAAAACTTCAACAAAATACACATATCACTGTCTCTAGTAATTATGTTCACACAGACATGTATATGCACAAATGCTGAGTATCATCTACCATGTATTCAATTGTGAAAGCAGAATAACATAATTTTATTAATTCAAAGGTCTCAAGAAAATTAAATTTCTGTATTAAATGACCCATAAGAATTTGATATGCGATTAAACAAACAATCAATCAGTCATATTTTCTTTGTATTTTTTTATCTCAGTAAACTGCTACAGATGAGCACTAATCTGTAATGTCATGAGTTCAGATCTTTACAACTAGTACACACCATGCCACTTCCATGAATCACCTTCATTGTCTTTGTGTTCAAAATGTAAGAAAAAAAGTTCCATACAGTTACCTTTTTCCCAAGTATTGTCAGTTTTTGAAACAGACACCCTTGGGGATGCTTCCTTGAACAATATAATCATGACCTTGTGAGAGAATTCAAATAAACTAATAAATAAAATAATAATAAAAAAGAATTTAATTTTCCTATAATGCAAAAGAAAAAAAGGAAACCAAAAAGGAAAATATTTTTACTGCACCTGGTCAAAGTTCAACCAACTTATCCTTTATAATTCCACCCCCAGTCCGTAACTCTTCTACCACTTCGTTAATGCTTTTGTTGTAGAGAATATGCAAATAAGCAACAATCTAGCCCATACTTCATGCATCCAGTCTATCAAAGGTAGCCTGGCATATATCAATAAAAAAGAACAACACTGAAATCAGTTTTCCAGTATTTTCTGATCTATTCAAGATATTTCACCTTCAAGGTCATTTGGAAATATTACCACAATCAAACTTCCAAAATATAGTTTTGCTTCTCAGAGTTGGGTGGGTTTTTTGTTTTTTTTCTGACAATACACTTACAACACTCCATATTTGGTTATTACCCTGTACTTAACCATATCTGATCCCACCCTAAAAAAAAAGTTGGCAAACTTGGACATTCATGCTGACAAAAAAAAAAAACAGAGTATGAAAAGAATGTTTTTCCATTGACACTACTATTATTATTTTAACTACTGTCACTCCTTGGCAATGTTTGTTTTAAAAAGTGATGATTAGAATAAAAACTGAATTTATGAAAGTTAATTTATATATTGTTTTGTTCTTTAGAATTGACAACAAAAATAATAAACACTATTTATTTATTAGATTGTTTATTGGAATGGTTGGCAAAATATCAGCTAATTGCCAATTAATTCAAATTTTATAAAATGGTAAATAATAAAGATTTATTTATAGTTCACATATTTTAATAATTTAGTAAATGTTTATGAATTTTATGAATAAAAAATTGTTTTCATATTTATTTCTTAATAAATTGGTAAATGATAAATATTGCATTGCATTAGTTCTGATTAGTTTTTAGAATGTTGTAAATATGAAATAGTGTTTATAATTTTGTAAATTCTCAAAAAAAAACTGAAATTCACTTTCATCAGATATTATGGTTTTATTACAATTCTAAAAAAAATAAAAATTATCGAAGAGTGAATTTAGTTAAAATAATATCAATGTCAATGGAAAAACTGTCCTTTTGACACACCATTTTTTTTTTTTTGCTGTTACGAAAGCCCAAGTTTGCTAAAAAGTTTTTTAAAAAGTTTGATAAATTCAGAAAACTAAAAATATGCAAATAGTAATTGTGTAAGTAATTTTAAACTTGATATTTGTAAATCACAGCTTAATCCAGTAACTCTGTAAAATATCATGGATTGATTTTTACATATTAGGAACTGAACTCCTCTCTCCTAAATCGATAAAAATCTATACTTTTTTGATTCTGACAAATGTGGCTTGAGAAAAGTTCAAGGAATACTAATCTATAAAAATTATTACCTGAAAAATGCCAGTTCATCCGGCCTGCCGATTCACTGTGCCACAAATGAACTAAACTATATTTATATGGAATTATCAATAGATTGTAGTTAAAATTACTATGTAGAAAAAATTAAAATAGATGTAAATAAAATGTCAAAATTTGGCCAATCTGTTTTTTGCAGCTGACAGTAATATAAGTTTTAGAAAAATCTGTGAAATAAAAAATACAGCAACTTTTGATATCTGGGCACTTTTTGTGTAATTACCTGCAATAAAGTGTCTAAGAAAAGCGATTATGAGCCTTCTGCAGCAATTATGTTTTAACTTGAATTGCCATGTTTAAACCAGTTTGAAGAGTGCCGTATATAAAAAGGACTAACTTCAGCGAATTATGTCATATTTTGCCTGAACTTATAAAATCTAAAGTATGTAAAGTCAGCCCATGTAATGAGGTTCACTGATGAACACTAGAAAGCATTTGTCTTTGTTGGATGCAGTTATACCAAAACAAATATTAATTATATCTTAAAAGGTAAACACAAATCTCACTGACCTTTTGTGTCACTTAGTTTGTGAGATTCGGATATGTGTGCACTTGGTGTAATATAACTATTTTATTGCTATTGTTGCCTTCTTGGATAATTTTTTAGTAAATAAGTAAGTTTGTTGTCTTTATTTTTAGTGTAATTAGTGTATTGTATTGAACAAAATGGTTATCTGGCCTGGGCTCGTCATTCTCTCAATTATCTGGCCATTTGTGAAAAAAGTTTGGTGACCCCTGCTCTAATTAATTAGTGCTGAAATTTTATATAAAACATTTCAAAGTAGTTAATCAACAAATTTTTGTCCTTACTGCCATGTGTCCAGATATAAAATAACTTAAAGTTGGGGAGTGGTGGTGTTGTTGTAAAGTCAGTGATAAATAAAGGTAAAAAAAAAAGTTACCTATATAACTTGTTTTTAACTGATTGACTGCCAACCACATGTTAACTCATGGTTGGCAGTTTTTATTATGACGCTCCTTCCGAGTTATACTGTGCTTGGCATTTTCTGATACATCTTCATCTGCCGACACCAACAACAAGTATATTCAAAGGGATACTCTTATTGTAAAAACAATGTTAAAACTTCAGTTGATGCTGTAAATCAATTTATAAAAAATGGATTGATTGCCTAAGTTGGCTATTATAAAGTTGGCATTTGAAATCAGATTTTGTTAGTGACTTCTGGCAGTCAATATGTTAAAAATGTAATCATGAAAGTAATAAATTCTTTTCTTTAATTTTTTGTGGAGACAGGGTTAAATGCAGCATTAGTCTTCTGTGCACCACCAGCTGTTTGGCTTGTTTTTTGATCTGAAACTAATCTGACACTAAGTAGCAGATGATGAAAAGAACTTTGTCTCAAAAAGATACAACTAGGAACCTTGACAAAGCAAGCTTCACCTACCAACTTAGTGAAAATAGCACTTACAATGTTATGAAATTTCAGAAAAATATAAAAATTGAGATGTAATAGAGTGGGGGGCCTCCTGTATCATAGATTTGAGGGTTGCACAAGACCCTTGCTGGTGGGTATTGTATTTTGCTCTAATATCAATGGAATCATTTGTTCATTTAATTATTATTGGCTTAAGAATTATTTTGTTATTTTTTCAGGGCATGAAATCCCTTATAGCATTAAGATGAACCACATCCAAAACAGTTCAGAAAATAAAGATGACTGTGATAATAGTGAAACAAAAAGGAAATCCGATTTTTTACTGATGTCCAGTAAAAAATGTCACAAGAAGCAAAATACAGGTAACACATCAAATATGAAAAGATTTTATTTTCTGTGGAAAAAACTGTATTATAAATATTCTTATATCATTCTAATCTAGTTCTTTCCAGGTTCTGAACACTATGAATTTCTTGTCATTAGGTGGAAAGACCTGTCATTATAATTCTCAGATTCACTCAAAATGTTTAACATATGTTCATCGTTTACGACTCAGCTCATTGAAACAAAATTTATAAAAATCTAACCATAATTTGAAACTGATTTGAAAAATTATGAATTCAAAATTCATTGATGTGTATTTTAACATAAAATGAAACTTGTTTTACTTAATTTTTTTGTTAATCTTTTAATTTATTTTTATATAATTTATATTTTATATATTATTTTAAATATAAGTTATGCCTAATATAATATATTTTTTATTTACTTTATTTTTTTATATAATTCATTTTTTATTTCTTTTCTAATATAATTTCTTTTTTAATATTTTATTCTTTGCTATTATTTATTTTAAATATATTTTATTATAATATTGCATAATGTTTTAACATAATTTACTTATTTTTAACATAATGTATTTTTTATATAATTTATTTTTAATGTTTTATATTTTTAATATTTTTTATTTTATATAATTTATTTTTAATATAAACTATTTTTAATATATTTTTATTATAATCATTATGTAATTTTTTTAATATAATTTATTTTTTGATATAATCTATTTTTAATATAACCAATTAAAATCATGGAAATAAATAATTTTCAAGAATTATAATTTGTTTTATAATTGAATTTTATTTTCATTCATTATTTTATTAAGAAATATATCCTTTTATTTTCCTACATGGGGTAGTGCCAGTTTAACCCATAAAATCTAATATTAATTCTAAAAATAAAAATACTGCTGCTCGGTCAATGAATGCTGAATGTTTCCTAATATTACTCTTCTTCATGTGCCATGTCCCCTGAGGATGTAGGCGATCATGGCTCTCCACAATTTCCTGTCCTTTGTAGCTATTAATAAATTTTATTTTTTTGTTATTTCTCTTAAACCCTATTCTGTCATCCATTCTTTCAAGTTCACTAAGTATGTTATGCGTTTTTTCCTCTGTCCCTCTTGATGGCATTCAATTTTATACTTACCATGCCTTAATTTCCAGATGGTAGTTCAAGGGGAGATAATTACTTTTGTCTTATTTTTATTAAAGAGTCATGAATGGATTAAAACCCCTGTTCTGATAACAGGACTTCTTGTACAATGAACATATAGCATAGGAATAAAATATCTAGTGAAATCCATTATATAAAAAGATCTGTCTCACACACACACACTTGTTTACATCACTCAAAGACTAGAGTCACTACCATGAGCTTAGGCCAATCGCTTTGTAGTAAGTTCTAGTAACACAGCAACTGAATTTTATGTTCTGTTAACTAAACTAAATAAATAATCAGTTCATTTATGTTGATGTATTGCATCTTCTGATGATGTGGTACAAATGGAATTTTCAGTTATTTTATTTTTAAATTAATTTTGTATTTGTATTTTGAAATTAAAAAAAAAATGAATGATGCTGAATGCTGATCTATTTTATAGACTCAACATTTGAATAAGAGGAATATAAAAATGGTTCTAAAATTATAACTAGAACTTTGGATAAATAGACTTTTAATACTTTTTATTATTAATCATTTATTATAATCGTTTTAAATTTTCTTAAATAGTGCCATGATATTTTGACAGTATGGTACACACTTCACCTTTCTTAAGAAATCTGTTGTTGTTGTGTGGCAGATTTAAAACCAACATTAATAAAAACAAAAACAAATGTGTTGGGAAAACTGAATGGAATCAGCTGAGTGTCTGTGTCTAGTCACATTGAACAAATATTTTTAAATTTATCACATCTCTTTTGAAGTGCATGATTCAAGGTTTCTTACTTGAATGCTCCTTTGTCAGTAGCACACCAATCACTACAAAAGTACTAAACAAAATCCAATACATGCATGAAAAACAACGCATAATATTATGTTGGATACCTAGCCATACTAGCTAATCATGGTAATGAGAATGGTGACAAAGAATCAAGAAATGCATTAAAGAAGAAGAAGCCATCAAACATAGAATATACTGTATACTGGTCTTAGATCAATTATCAGAAAATTCATTGTGGACAAATGGCAAAAAAGAATGGAAGAAGCACATAAATAACAAACTCTATAGAATCTAAGTAGACATCAAAGAATAGCAAACTGGTTATAGAAAAATAAGGAAAGAGGAATCAGAATTAGCTCGACCCCCAAATAAGTCACACTTCTATTACCCACAGCTACATACTAAAAAAAAAAAAGAAGATTCACCTGTGTTGTATGTGTAATGAATGATATACAGTGGATCACATACTTGTAAAATTTATAGATTTAAGTCTGGTCCATGAAAAGTAATATCAGGCAAACAATATGAGTGAACTCTTCAACAACAGGATTGATCCAAGTAAAATAATTAAATTTCTTAAGGAAAGAAACCATGATATATTAAAAAATTTATAGATTTAAGTCTGGTCCATGAAAAGTAATATCAGGCAAACAATATGAGTGAACTCTTCAACAACAGGATTGATCCAAGTAAAATAATTAAATTTCTTAAGGAAAGAAACCATGATATATTAAAAAATTTAAGCAATAACTAATATTGACAAATAAGTAAATGAACCAAATAAACTAATCTCCAATTGAACTTATGAACTCTTTTACAAAGGCTGTAGCTTTCAACTAAATGATACTAAAATATTATTCACAAATTAAACTTAATAGACAAACAATGATGCCTAGTCAAATCTTATTTGGCATGAAATAACCTAACGAAGGTTGATCTGCCTTTAAACTCAACACTGAATCAATCAGACCATTCCCCCCCCCTCCAAAGTATGAATTCTTATATCTTGTATCTTTTGAAAGTTATTAAAATTTATTGAGATTGAAAGTTATTGAATCTTGTATCTTGGGAAAGATTGTGGAGTAGTTTTCCTGTGTGCTGCTCCATGACTTCAAATCTATTTTTTTTCCCTTTTCTCAGACTATTTGCCACATACTTATAAAATGTATTGATTTAAATCTAATCTGTGAAATATATTATCAAGTAATGATATGAATGACCTCTTCAACAGAATTGATCCAAATAAAATAATTAAATTTCCTAAGGAAACCAAGATATATTAAAAAATTTAGACAATAACTAATCTTAACAAATAAGTAAATAGACAAAAATAAAATAATCCCCAATTGAACTTCATACTAAAATCATTAACTTTAAATAAACTCCTTTACAAAGGCTATCACTTTCAGCTGAATGATACTAAAATATTATTCATAAATTAAATTTGATGGACAAACCATGATACCCAGTGAAATTTTATTTGACATGAAATGACCTAACAAAGGTTGATATGTCTTTAAATGCAACAATCAAATTAAATCTTCAGTAGCACAAGGCCTAGAAAAAACAAGTCCATGTGCTTATATGTAAATGGGACTTTATGGAATTTAAAGGTTGCAAGCTTGGTGTATCATTGGTTGGGTGCATGTTCATAAACAGTTAAAGAAACAGCATACAAAAACTTGTGTTTCTATCAGGGGCCATTTATTCTCTTTTTTTATATTAAACGGTAGTGAAACAAAATTCTCAATGTCTCTTTGGTTTGTCTTTTTTCTTTTTTATAATTATTCATTTATTATTATTTTATTCATTGATTTTATTTCATTTTCTCACAACTTATATAGTTTATCTGGCAACATGGCTTCCAATTTACTGATCATAGGCTTTGCTGCTGGATAAATTAAAGCAAAGCCTCTGATTGAAAGATTGAAGGTCTTGAGGAGCACAGGAATTACCTCTTGATTCCTAACCTGAGGTGGTAGCACCTGTTCTGGTCCAAGTTATGGGTAAATAGTGAACCTCCAAATAAAACATTATGAAAGTATAAAAATACATTTTTATAGTAAAAATACCAGCAATACACTTTCATATATTAAAAAAAAAAATTTACCACTAATAACTATTTATAGTAAAATTACCAATAATTCATTTTATCTGTGGTTGAGAGCATACATGTGCATTCAAAATATTTAGATTTTATTTAATAACCCATAGAGGTTGATATGCCACTAAACAAAATCGACCAAATCAACGGCACAGCTTACTTAAATTTATTATTAGTCATTAACTGAGACTATAATATCTACCCCCCCTCTCCCCAACAAATGATATCTCATCTTATCCATCTGATACCAAAAGGCAAATATTTCCTGCCTCACTCTTGCTCTCCCTTTTGTTCCAAAATGTAGTACTACATGATAATTAAATTTCCACTGGGAAAGTATTAGTTTCCCTGGTTCATTGATGACTGAACTTTCTTCCCACTTTCCAACAATAAGTAAGTTCAAACCTTCTTTTGGTTGTTCCAACTCTATGCAAGGCTAACTTGAGTTCAACCATAAATATAATGCTTATAAGGGGTTGGACTTTGGGGGCTTACAGTACCAGGTGTTCCCAAGTGGTCCCCCATCTAAGTACTGACCTGGCTCTACGATGCTTAACTTCGGTGATCGAATGAGAACCGGTGTTTTCAGCGTGATTTGAGCATAAGTCCAAAGTCCAACCCTTACCTCACAGTCGGTGGGGGGGGGGTGTAAACGGTAGTGTCAGAGCTATGCCGCCCGGAACTTCGTTCCTGGTAGGGCCACCCAAGGCGGACAGGTCAGACACATACGCCGGCTAACAAGGGCTCTGGTGAAAATCCAAGGAGCGTCTGCATCGGTAACCAGCAGCTTCTGGTCGTTCCTGTCTCTGCGTCTGTGGGAACCCCGCGGCAAGCAAGAACGTTATCCGAGTAGGCCTGGGTACCCTACTTCTGTAATTTATCCCAAGAATCTTCTTCTCATAACAGGAAGAAGCCGGCTCAATCCACCCAGGGTGAATGCCGCATCAGTACAGTACAGTAGTATAATGCTTATACTTATCCTGACTTCTGGACCAAAAAGAAAATGGAGATAACCAAGAAACAATGAGAATTTTCACCACAGTTTACATAAAAACAAGAATAAATGGTCCCTGGTTGAAACACAAGTTTTTAAATGCTGCTGGTTCTTTTTTATCATATACTAGCAGTAGAGCCTGGCATTGCCCGGGGATGTAACAGTAAGAGATAGATCAAGTATCGACCATCATAAAGACAGAAAAATAAAATTGACAAAGATTATTGTTTAATGTTGACAGACACGCATGTCTTAATTAGTTGTTTTTTTTTTTTTCTTTTTTTTCTTTTTTACGAATTGGTCAAACCCAAACTCAAACAAAAACATTGTTTTCAATAGTTATAAGTCTACCAATTGAATAGAATTTTATTATAAACAATTGTCTTGTAAATGGAATTTTTAAAGCATTCTGAATGTAAAAATAAAGAAAAAAAGTGTGCAAGACAATAAGAAACACTACCTGCCAAAAAAAAAGTGAAGTTTTGTTGAAATCGGTTGAAAAATGTAGGAAATCCGATCCCATATATAAATGAACACACACACACACACACACACACACAAACAATCTGGGTTTTATAATAAGTATAACTCGATATGAGTTGTCCCCCAATCATTCTGCGAAGGCGATGCCTTTTAATCGTGTTTTCAAATTGATTTTGTGCAAAAACAATTGTGTTTTTCCCATTTTTGGTGCTGTCAGAACCACCACAAGGTAATTTTACGTAGTCCTGTGAAGTTTTGTTGAAATCGGTTGAAAAATGTAGGAAATCCAATCCAATATATAAACGTACAGACACACACATACAACCTGGGTTTTATAATAAGTATGATGAACTCACACACACACCTAAAATACACACAAATGTGAAACCTTTTTAAATTCTATAGATTTCAACAAAAACTTGTTAAAGTTAAAATTCATGCATTGGTTATAAACAATCAAGATGAAGATATTAGTAAATAAATTCATTAAAAGCCTTTTCTTTTACTAGTAAAATGGCAATAAATATTTGTGTTGTGATATGACTCAAGATTTCCTACTTCAATGCTCCCCTTCCTCTATAGTAAAAGTCTATGTGCTCATCTGCAATTTAGGCAAGACTTATTTCATTATCCTTACAATGTTACTACATCTTCAGCGTTTCTCCTCGAGCAACATTTTCATTCATATTTTCCCGCCTCTGCCTACACATATATAATTCCATCAATAAGAATATTATTTTACTCTGACGAAGTCCATTTAAAGAACGAAACGTATTACATTAAATTTTCCTATTTTGTAATTCTATTACCCAACGCTTCATTCTACAGCATGCATAGATTCACACACAAAAACATACAACAGACACACACAATTTTATATCATTTTAAATTGCACACATGCCATTCTAAAACACATACACAAAAACATTATATTCAGAAATGTTTCATTAAATAATATAGACATATTGAGTTTATTTTTATACTGATCCTTTCCAGTTTTATAATCAGTTTCTTAATATTAAGATGAACTTCCTCAAGGAAGGTGCTGGAGTTTTTTTGTTTTTTTTTTTTAACCCAAATACTTTTGATCTATTCTAAGGTCATCTTCAAGGGTAAATTACAAAGCCAACATATTGTTACTGTGATAAAATCTGCATTTCATTGTCCTAGTGATTTTTAAAAACATGAATGAAGGTGCTTTTCTTATAGATATTTTGGAATTTTAAAATTTATCTGTAGTTCTGGATTTTTTTTTTTTACAAAACAAGCATTTCAATATAAGAGAGCAGACCAGGAATTTGTAGAAATGCAAAATGGCATTAGTATATAAATGTTATATATATTTTAATATGTTACTATATTCAAGAAACTGATTAGTGTTGTAGAGTAGTTTCACAGTGGAGGCTTGTATTTCACTAAGTCGGCCCTAAAATAGGTTCAATGTACAAAAGGTTTGGAACTTGATATAATAGGTAATGATACAGAGATCTAGTTGTGGTGGCTGGTACTTTAATATCCGACTAATGGTTGTCCGACATCGACTGACTGACCAACTTCTGAGCGACTCAGCGACTGCTATTACTCCTACTTATTATAGGTGGGAGAGTCTATTAACTATAGAATAGGTGTGTTCCACTATAACAATTAGACGACTGGAAAAGGTCAGTATAAAAATAAGTAGACACAATATGTCTATATTATTCAATGAAACATGATTGAATGAAGATATGCTGCCAAAATATACATATTTTAAAAACATATATTGTATCATTCTACTGCACTCACAAGCATACACAATTTTACATCCTTTAAAATTGTGTACACATCATTCTACAACACACATACATAAAAACATGTACACATATAATTTTACATAATTCTAAAATACTCATACAAAACACACAGATATACACATAATTTTACATCTTTTTAAATTGTAGATACATCACCCTGCTGCACTGATACATATGCGCAAAAACATATACGCACAAACCTCACACATAATTTTATATTATTCTTCAAGGCTCATGCAAACTCATGGATGCGCATATAATTTTACAACTGTTTAAATTGCATCCAAATATTTTTATTTTAATCATTTCACCCCAGGCAAGGCAATAAAGCCACTAAGATGCAAGAGATTACTGTGGTGTAATAGAATATGAGACAAAGCACATTATTAAGGGGAGAGAACAATAAAAGAACAAGACAATCGATAACAATTGACATTGCATTTAAATTTTTTAAGGTCAAAGTTGACTGGGAAGCAAGAAGCTGGAAGAGACTTTCTCACATGAGAAGTGTGAGAAAAGAAACTGTTAGTATAGAACTTATGGTTACATCTAGCCAATTCAAATGTAAAATGATGAGACCTTGCCGCCAATCTAGTATTGCATTTAAATTCATAAAGTGTAGGTAAAGTTCATAAAAACAATTACCATGAAAGTATTTACAGAAAAGGCGCAGGTAAGTTACAGAAAGTGGAAAGTGACTAGAGCTGAGATGTCAGATCAGGACCAATAACATTGCAGATTCTTCTTTGGATTTTATCAGGAATCTCTAAATATATAGCAAGAACACCAGACCATATGTAGCAGCAATATTCAAAGCAAGAATGAATGGTAGGCTTATAAATATGTAACATAGATTCTGGAGAGAAAAATTGTCTAGCACAACACAGTGAACCAACTTTGCTAGCTGTAGAATTTGCAATTGATTCAGTATAATCTTTCCGCTTTGTGTCAATGGAAAATGTTAACTCGAGAAAGTGCAATGATTCACTCTCCTGGAGGTTAGCATCTGCCATACTGATAGAAGGTAGAAAGGAGTCTCTCATATGATTGACTGTGAGCAGTTTCATTTGCAGGCATTAAAATTAACAAGCCATTCCTTACCCCATTTAACAGCAGATTGCAGGTAATTTTTGAGATCAGTTGTCAATTTGAGCTTTGGAATGATGTAGAATTTTATTTAGTTCTATTTTTATTTTATTTTTTGCAGATGATGTTGACGCAAAAGCATTCAAGAAAAAACGACGTCCGTTTCATTTATTTAGAAAAGCAGCCAAATTGGAAGAAAAACCTTTAGGAAAATTATTTGGTCAGCCACTTAAAGACATAATGGTTAATAATAATCCACCCAAACCAATAGATGTGAGTTTTCACTGATATTTTTCATCTTCTCATTCTAAATGCTTCAATTATCCTTTTTTTTTTTTTTTTTTACCCTATAATACAGGTGTTCTCAAATGATGTAGTGCATGAGGATAACAGGTGTGGTCAGAAAGATTGTAAAATAATCAAAGATTTAGAAACATTTTTAAAAAAAATTCATATGCCACAAATAAATATGATTTCAAAATTTAAAATATTATTATAGATTACTTGTCATTCCATGCATGTCCCTGTATAAATAGTTATAAATAATTATTGACCGATTTTATCATTGTGATATTTTTGCATTATATCAAGTATTAAGAATATAGTAACTAGGGTGCACAAATTAGAGGAGAGAGTTATCAATGATAAATGTTCTGACTTCAAATCCCAGGTTATCTTCCTTTAACCCCATTCTGTTTTGTTTTTTTTTTTTAATTTACTTTTTATCACATAAAATTTGGTAAGGCATTAGCAAATTTTTATTCTGAAAATACAGCCCAGAGTAAAAATATTTGGGGATCACTGTTATAATATTTTTATTAATACTATATATTTTTAATGATCATTAATTTTTTCATAATGAGTAATTTTTTTTAAAAGCTATAATTTTTTAAATTTCTTATATTCTTAATAATCTATAATTTTATTTCATTAATACTATATTTTAATAATCCGTATTTTTAATCATCTATAATTTTTTTTCATAATTTATAATTGTTTTCATAAGATATAATTTTAAAAATTTCCTATAGTATTTTTAATAATCTGTATTTTTTAATCTTATATAATTTATAAATTTTTCTGTTTCTTATCTTTACATCAGTATTTATTTTCAAAAATAAAAGTTAAGAAACCTTATAAAAAAGCATTTGAGATATTTGCCTTATTTGCATTCATAAATTTTCTGTCTTTTTTTATCTATTTTGTTAGGATTTATTGCAGTTACTTTTCCAAGAAGGCCCATTCACAAATGGCATTTTTCGTAAGCCAGCCAATGCAAAGAAAAAACGGGTATTATGTGAAATAATGGATCAGGAGGAAAGCACCAACATGGCTGATGTTACAGGAAATTTAGCTGCAGCTGTCTTGATGGTAAATTCAAAAAAATCTTTTTCTTTTTTTAATTCTTTTATTCCCCCTTTTTTAATTCTTTTTAGTACTTTTTTTTTTTTACTTTTCTCTTCTTTTTTCTTTTCTTTTTTCTTCTTTTTATTTTTCATTTTCTCTTCTTTTTTCTTTTCTTCTTTTTATTTTTCATTTTCTCTTCTTTTTTCTTTTCTTCTTTTTATTTTTCATTTTCTCTTCTTTTTTCTTTTCTTCTTTTTATTTTTCATTTTCTCTTTTTTCTTTTTCTTTTTCACTTCTTTTTTACTTTTCTTTTTACTTTTTTTACTTTTCTCTTTACTTTTTCTTTTTTATTTTATTACTTCTTTTTTACTTTTCTTTTCTCTTTTTTTTACTTCTTTTTTACTTTTTTTTCAGATGCATTATTGATTGATAATTGATGTTTTATATGGCTTATCAATCCTCTGTGGGTTATTTAAAGCCAAAACACATTTGGGATTGTAAAAGGTTGCTTATAGTCCCCCATCTAAGTACTGACTAGGCTTGAAGCTATAGTCATTGAGCACCTTGAAAGGAACAAACTCTTCAGCAACAAGCAGTATGGGTTTTGATTGACTCAATCCACTGCTGATGTCCTAACTTACAGAATCAGTGAGTCTCCTGATGAAAAACACACCTCGAGGATCATAACACTAGATATCTCAAAAGCCCTCGACAAGGTGTGGCACAAAGGCTTACTACACATGCTGTTTACTCATGGAATCACTGAAAGAGTCTTCTTCATCATAAAATACTTTCTAACAGGTAGGACTCTGAAGGTAGTTACCAATGGAGCCCTAGAGGTCAATGCAGGCATCCCTCTGGATCACGCCAGTGACCAACCCATTTTTTGTGGTCAACATAAATGATCTGCCCAAGAATATACTCAGATCATTTGTAAACATCTATACTGATGATACAACTATATATGGGTGCACCTTTCTTGATAGTCAGAGATTAGTGACTGATCTTTCTTCTGATCTTGCACAAACTACCCAATGGGCTAAAAACTGGCTGGTTACATTCAATGACTCAAAGACCAAGCTAGTTACATTCCATCATTGCCAATCTGACCCTGAACTACCACCAATCAAGATGACCAAAGGTCCTCTTGGGGAAGAACCATGCCTTGAAAGACTGTTGGGCCTCAAACTCACACCCAACCTCAAGTGGAACTTGTACATACAATCCATTACTAAGGATGCAGGTAAAATGGTTGACTCTCTGTACTGCTCCAGTAAGTACCTGACTCCTCCTGTTATCCTCCACCTATACAAGAGCCAGATCAAGCCAAAAATGGAGTACTGTTGTCATATTTGGGTGGGAGCTGCCCAGACCTCACTTTACAGACTTGATAGGGTTCAAAGGAGTTTCCAAGCCCTTGTGGATGATGAATTATTCTCCACCCTTCAACCTCTCTTCCATAGGCAGGATGTGGCAAGCTACTTCTATGGAAAGCACTCAGACAAACTACATTCCACTGAGACAAACCTTCTCAGCAAGAACATGCCATGCCACTTACATAGTAGCAAACCCCACCCACATTCCCTCTATATTCTATTGGTGAGAAGTAAGTTCCACTTGAACAGTTTCTTCCTGTGAACCACTGCCCTGTGGAATTGACTCCAACAGGATGTTTCCCAATCACTAAAATCTTAACCTGTTCAAGACAAGTGTTAACCATTATCTTCCACTCCTATACACACAAATGGCCACAAAATATAACCCTCTACCATGAGTGGCCCCCAGGCCTTGTAATGGGTGAACCTTGCTGTAAAATAAGTCATTTATATTATAAACTGTATAAATAAACATTCAAAATGAGCAAAAGATATATGCTGTCAGGCTCCTTACATTCACTTATGCACAAATGCCTTTGGGAAATGTATGAATCCATCTCTTCTCCTAATAGTTATGAGTTGAATAGCAGGATAGACTGAATCCTATAGCCTTGTGTTATAATCTGGGGAAGGTTACTGAATAGAATAATCACAAGAGAGGTTGGAAATGAACAATAATACTTAGGACTTGAACAACACCTATAAGATTCACCAGCAGTGTGTGGAAGTAGTCAATTGCTAGAAGTCAGTCAATTGAATTCCACAATAAATCTCCAACTGCAGACCAACATACAGTATTTACTACTGTATTTATGTGAATGGTCAGTATGCTACAACACCTTGGTTGGCAACCAGTCTACTGGAGAACAAAACAGCAACCTACCGATAGAAAATTTTCTGCCTCATCAGTCATGAATCGAAAGAGACATGATCGCCCAAGCATGTATCGCATATGGCAATTAACTGACTGAATGCATTTTAAGATATTATTTGTTGGATGTTGTTGGATGAATAACATTTACTTGTTGGCCATTGATTAATTGATTTTTTTTATGGCTTATCAAACCTTTGTGGGTTATTTAACACTGAAACATACTTTTGGATTGTAAGGATTTGTGAATGAATATTGTGTTAAAAATATTTTGGATGTAATGATGATTTTTCCAGATATAAGTTCTACTATTTAACCCATAGTTGGAGTTGGGAGAAGATGAATCCATACCTTTCTCAAAGTTATTTCCAACTAAGTGAATGTAACAAACTTGACTGGAATTTGAATATGACTTTCCGATTTTCTCATTCTGTACCACTAACCATTTGTGGAAATGCCAAATATGATTTCACTTATCCAAAATCAGTAACAGATTTCTTTTCAAAACTTTTATGAAACAAATCTTCATTTTCTTCTATGTGCCATGTCCTTTTAGGACATAGGTTATAATGACTTTCCACAATCGTTTCATAAGGTCAAATTAGCAGCTGATCTAAAAAATGACCTACAATCTGCTGTTAACTGGGACAAAGAATGGCTTGTTAATTTTAACACCTCCAAAACAAAACTGCTTTCTATTAATCATTTGAGAGAACCTCTTTGGTCTTCTATCAGTATGGCTAATGCTAACCCCCAGGAGAGTAACTTACACCTTCTCTGGCTGACGTTTTCTGCTTACATGAAGTGAAAAGATTATATTGAATCAAATGCTAGGTATGATGCTAGGGAACTTGGGGTTTTTTTTGTGTGTTCTGCTAGTTAATTTTTCTCGCTCTACTATATTTTACATATTTTTAAGTTTACCATTCATCCATACTTAGAATATTTCTACCACATATGGTCTGGTGCTCCTGATATATATATTTAGAGATCCTTGATAAAATCCAAAGAAGAATCTGCAATGTTATTATTCCTGACCTGGCATCTTGCCTTCAGTCATTTTCCCACCACCATAATGTAACTTGCCTGTGTGTCTTCTATAAATACTTCCATCGTAATTGTTCTGATGAACCTTCCTCTATGGTACCTAGATTCTATGAATTTAAGTGCAGTACTAGATTGGCAGCAAGGTCCCATCATTTTACAGTCAAAATGTCTAGATGTAACCATAAGTTATGCTAATAGTTTCTTCTGTCGCACTTCTTGCTTGTGGATCTCTCTTCTGACTTCTTGCTTCCCAGTCAAATTTGATCTTCAAAAATTTAGATGCAATATCAATTGTTATCTTTTGTTATCTTAATTTATGTTCTTTAATTTTTCTCTCTTCTTAATAATGTTTTATCTTTTTCTTGTATTCTTTCACACTCAGTAACTCTCTTGTGTCTTAGTCACTTCAGTGCCTTGCTTGTGGTTAAATGATTAAAAAAAAAAACTCTCAATAATGTTGTCTTTTTACTAACCCTCCCACATCCTATTATCATATTATACCATCCATTTACACAAGCTTGTCAGGTAGATATTTCCCTCTGTGTCTCATACCTTAAGTAAGTCCTATGAGTGTTAAATTTTCCATGCCCACTTTCTTCATTATGTATCCTAGAAATTTTAACTGTCTCTTTTCTAAGTCTAAATATATGACCGCTATATCAAATAAGGAAACAGATAAGTGTTTTAGTAACAAAAAGGAATAAGAACTTTATAAAGTCATCTGCACACTATCAGTTACTCTTAAGTCCAATGTGAGTGGCCATTTTCAAAGCTAAACATCATAAAGACAGGTTTAAGAAATTCACTGTCTGAGGAGAATTTGAAGTCATACATGAAAATACATTCCATTGAAAAGGAATTGTTAGATGAATTGGATGCAGAAACAATTATTGGCTGATTCACACAATCATCTAGTGAAAATAAATGATTGCTCTTAATATAGTGGACTGTATGCAATTTTGAATTGCTTTTGGATTATCTATTAAAGTGCAAATTGTGCAGTAAACTATCTAAAAATATCAACCAATGACTTAAAATTCAAAAAAAAATAAACAAAAAATTATAACATTCTGTATTAACATTTGGTATCTTCTATCAGTAATATGTACAGTACATGTGTATTGTAATTTACTAAGAAATACACTTTATTTCACAAAAATTGTAATGTACTATTTTTTTCTGGATGTATTTTTTAAAATTTTATTTATTAACTATGAAAATTAAATAGCATTGTTATACTGTGTTTGCCTCTTTGTCACCAGGCAACCAATATTTTTAGACCCAGTCTGACACTGACCTCATGCATCTCCAGTCCAGATAATCATATCAATATACGTTTTTTCTAAACTATGTTGTTCTGTATATAAATATATAACAGAATCCATTCATTTATTTTGAAAATGTTGAAACAACTGTTAACCCCTTTTCATTCTTCTTCTTTATGTTCTGTGTCCCCTCAGGATGTAGGCGATAATGGCTCTCCACAACTTCCTGCCACTTGTAGTTCTTAATAAATTTTTTGTGGCTGTGCATCTTGTAAGCTCAGATGGCATGTGACTATTATCGTCATTTTTATCTCTTTCTTCAAAACCCTTTTTTCTTGTTTTGTTCCATTACAGGAATATCTGCGAAATATTCCTCAAGGTTTATTGGTAGATGACAAATACAATGACTGGGTTGATGCAGGAAAGCTTTCAAATGAATCAGAAAAACTGACAAAAATTAAAAAGTAAGTAAACAAATTATTCAGTATCAAATATCAATGAAAAATTGTAAAAAAAAAAAAAAAATTATATAATGTTCATGTTTGAATGATATAGAAATATCCTTTAATAAATTGTGTCTGTGTTATATGTTTGCCTCTCATGCAATTTACAATCCTTCCTTGGTCTTATAGAGGCTGGTTAGTTGGTATGACCTCTTGAATTTATATTTAATGCAAAATACCACAAAATATGAAACAATAAGAAGAAATATAAAACGGTTTTATAACCAACAAAGTATTTATATTTATATCTTTAATGATGTACATGCATAGGGGTTACTTCCCTTCGACTGAAATTAAAGTTTGTACTAATGGAATACTTTTTATCTGAGCTCATAAAAGGTTGAATTAACTTGCCGCTCAAGATGTTCAGTGAACGCACTGTGTGTGTGTGAAAGAATTCTGTGAAGCTGAGAATATGTTGAGTAAACTTTTAGCTTTATAAGTGTTGAAAGAGTGAATGTTCCATAATGTTTGTAATTAAGTTTTGTTGCTTGTAGTTGAATATTCATATGTTAGTTTGTAATCTTCTGTAATGAAGTTTGGGAAGTTTCGTACATACGTGTATGTGTGAATATGTTTTCATAGCGTTCACGCACAACGGGTCAGAATGTGATTTCTTCAACGGCTACATTTTCGTAATCACAAAGAAGAGTAGAGGAAGAACAAACTCGTGTCTGGCAATTATAATCAACGTAATCATGTGATTGGCTCCTGGAAGCATTTCTAAATTTTTGATGGGAAAACTTGATCACACGAGAGAAAAAGACTTGTACGTGGGTGGATTGCAATGCCCACTTGTGTGTTTATTGACCAATTAGAAGTTGAGGTTTTCTGAAAATATGTACAAAGCTGGATAAGCTCTGTGATTTGCTTTTTGCACAGATTTATACAAAAATTGATATTCATAAAAAAGGTGGTAGCAGGATACTAAAGTCTTTTGAACAAGAGTAGAGTTTTGTCCCTTGTTTCCTGTTTAGGATTCGGTTTCCAGTTCTTTCTAAAGTCTTCTCATTCTGTTTCACTCCCTTGCATCTTAGTGGTATTATCACCTTGCCTGGAGTGAACTGACTGAAAAAAAAAAACAACAAAATAAAACAGTAATATCATCGCTGAAACTTAAGCTTATGCAGGCATTACAGAGTTGTCCCCCTTTTCATGTTTTTTTTTTTTTATCTGCCCTTGCTTTGTTTAAAGCCCAGTATTAATCAAGTTTTTGACAGAGACGTTCATGTTTGTTGTTGTCATCTTTGTCAAGGAGTTAGCAGCCACACACTATTCAGTAAGAGACAGTAGTGAACAGTTCTTAAAATAAAAATGAAATCCTTTCAGTTGAATCAGTCATTTGAATACACAACCAGAAAAATAATATTACCATTGACAACAAATCATCTGGTACATCTGTAATGATATCATCTGGTACATCTGTAATGATATCATCAGGCTGACCAATGAAAACATGAGACTTAATTAATCTCTATGTAACTTTACATTTTATTCAACTTTGTCAATCACCGCTAACCAGTTGGTGGGTGTGGCACCAGGCCTTCACCTGAACATAGATCTTATATGATGCCTAAAAGAAATTTCTTAGATGAATAGTTGCCATTATTATAAAATTTGAACTAATATGTGACACCAATATAATAATAATAATAAGAAGAAATGGATTTATAGAAAATATAACAACATAATAAGTGGATCTATAAAATATTTAATTATCATCTCCCAGAAGTAGTTTAGTCTTACAAAATGTCTTTCAAATTATCCCTTGTTTCATTCTATAAAAACTCATTGTTTCAATAAATTTAATATATCAAAAAATTCCTGATCAATTAAATCAAGACCGGATCCTTTCTTTTATTGACTACAATATTTACTTTAAAGTTAGTGTAAGCAACAGACTACATATATATATCAGTCAGTTATGTGCCATGCATGATACACGCTTAGGCAGTCATGTATCTTTTCTATATATGACTGATTAGGCAGATTTTTTCCTGCAGTAGGTTGCCCTTTCTTTCTGCAGGTAGACCAGTTGCTATCCAAGGCTATAGAACCTGGTCTGTTCTGCTATTTACCCATAGTTGTGGGGAGAAGAAGATTCATACCTTTCCCAAGGGTATTAGCACATAAGTGAATGTAATGGATTTGACTGGAATTCGAACTCGGTTCTCTGATTCCTTAATTGGAACCACTGTGCCTCTTATATATATATATATATATTATATATTATTTACATTATTCGAACTATCGTGGCATGTTTAATGGATGTCAGTTATCAGTTATCTCCTGTTAATTCCCCTCTCCAAGTTCTCCACTGCCTTAAAAGGGTATTGAACTCACACTTTTGGGTCCTGTCACTGGATCTAATGCATTTATCCACTGTGGACACATGGCATGTGGAACTAGAACAGTCTACCCCAGTGAGCGCACCCAAATAGGAGTTGACATGCCGTTAAATCCAACATTCCAGTGCGTGAAATAAAGGGTTCAGTTCGGCAATCCAACCACCTGAAGAAGGCTGGAGCATACAATGGCTGAAACAGTGTAATAAATATGGCGACAAAGATGAGGACAATAGTCCGAATAATGTAAATAGGGTTTTGTAATATCTCTTCTCAGAAATATAGACAGATACTTACATACATATATATATATATATATATATATATATATATATATATATTATATAAAAGACAGACCATGTTAAGATTCCATGTAATAAGTAATATATTTCACCATAACCCCTTTAACAGGGTTCTGGATCATCAGACTTTACTTCCAAAAGATGAAATGAAAAATGAAAAGAAATTCACATGTTTTTGACGGACCTCATCAAGTATACGTAAAATTAACAAAGTGAGGAAGTGAGGTGGGAGAGAGGATATGAGTGGGTCATATGCATCATTTCAGTTTCTTATTTTTAACCCCAGTGTGTCGGCTATGAAGAAATTAATTTGAAATTCGGCTTCGTAGATTGTTTTAACATTTAGATATTTATCAAACCTTAACCTCCCAAATATGCACGTTAAAGTAATGCGAATTAACAGCGTCTAAGAATTTGAATGAAACCTGTCATGTAATTAATTGGGGTTGTTGTAACTTCTTCCTTTAATGTCGTTCTTATCATTCACCCCTTAGCCATCTATATCTAGAGACGAGACGCGTTAAATTTGAGCAACATCCAGCCGACACACTGGGGTTAAAAATAGGAAACTAAAATGATACATATGACACACTCATATCCTCTCCCCACCTCACTTCTCACTTCGTTAATTTTACGATACTTGATGAGGTCCGTAAAAACGGGTGAATTTCTTTTTTCATTTTTCATTTCAGCTTTTGGAAGTAAAGTCTGATGATCCAGAACCCCGTTAAAGGGGTTATGGTGAAATAGCTTATTACATGGAATCTTAACGTGGTCTGTCTTTTATTCAAATATATCTGCTCTGAATTTTACATTGAGCTCTCTGGATATCATCTTCCTCAGGTCTACCCATACGGATTACCTAAGTTTGCATAAACTATATATATATATATATATATATATATAAAAGTAAAAGAATAACATTTTTAATCAAAAACGCCAGAAATAGTTGTACCAACCTCATGATAATAGATTTATAGAATATTTAAACTGGTTATGACTATGAACCACATCCGGCAGCAAGGCCTTTGATCAGAAGGTTTTGAGCAACTGGGAACCACCTCTAAATTACTATTGTTCCCAGGATCACCCTGATCCAAGGTGGTAGCATATGTTAGTGTCCCAGCTAACCCCCAAACCCCTCAAATTGGTGTCAAAACACTATGAAAGAATAAAAATTGGTGTCAAAACACTATGAAAGAATAAAAATATGTTTTTATAGTAAAAACACCAGCCACACATTTTCATAATAAAAAAAAATTAGCAACAATAGATTTTTGTAAAAGAGCTTACTAATGCTCCTAAGAAAATTAAATTTCCATATTAAATGACCCATAAGATGTTGATATGCCACTAAACAAACAAACTATAGTATATTTATGCTTACAGCCATATCACATTGAAACACTTGTTCTTGTACAATCACCAAAGTTAAACAACCTCAAGCCTGGTCAGTACCTAGATGAGTGACCATTTGTAAATACCAGATACTGTAAGCTTGGATGGGAGGGTGATATAATTGATAACTGCTTGTGATTGGAAATTGGAGATCAGAGTTCCAATCAGTTTTGTTATAATCACTTAAGTGCAAATACTCTTGCTAAAGGGATGAATTCACCTCTCTTCCCCCAGCTATGGGTTAATTAGTAGGACTACTATCAGTATATTGTTATAATATTCAAAACATTCTTACAATTTAAAAATATTTTCTGGCTTTAAATAACCAGGAAAAGGTTGATAAGCTGTAAAAAACAATATATAACATTTAACTATTGTCTTCCAGTAGAAGCGTTGTCTCAAAACCTGTCATCTTCAAATTATCACTTGTTTCATTCTATGGAATATTTGTTGTCTGGTCAGTAGTTTTAATTAGCTTAATATAACTGAAAAAAAAATATTTTTAGTTCAAGGACAAAGGATGGTCTGGAAGACATCTTAACTTGAAAACTGATGAATTCTTTAAATATTAACAGCATGTCTCAAAGCTTCCGACTGGATAGACTGAAAAACTTATCTCCAAATACTGCTAATAAAACTGAATGGTAATTAACAATTATGATAATTAATTCTGATTTCTTATTTTGTACAGCTTGGTGTTGGATTTGCCTCCTTGCAACAGACAACTTCTGCAACAATTGTTATGTGTCCTTTATTACATTAAAAACAGATCATCTGAAAATCAGATGACCTCCCAAAATCTAGCCACATGTATAGCCCCAAGTTTACTGGGTTCAAAGCAACCTGACAACCAGGAAGATTTGATGCTGATAAGAGACGTGATCAGTTACATGATAGAAAACTGTGTACAGATCTTTGGTCAGGAGGTAATTTCTCTGTTTAGGGAAGAGTCTCCTGAAAGACAGCAAGAAGATTCTGATACAGACAGTTTTCACAGCACATTAAGCACCCAAGGACCAGGAGGTGGGTATTTGTAAAAAGTAATTTGAAAATGGAAGCAAATGTTTCAAATATTTCACTAGATCAAATGTTGATTTGTTAACGGTTATTCCCAAGAGTCTGGCAAACTTTAGATAAAAATGGTGAGGCTCAGGTTTTAGATATAGCAAAGGCATCTGATAAGATTTGGCATGCTGATCTCTCCATTATGTTGTTCCTGGCTGAATTTTTGATTTGATATAATCTTTCTTTCAAATCACAAAATGAATGCTGTCTTGAATGGCCATTCTTCGAGATCTTTCTATGCAAATGTGGGTGTCCCCCAGAGCTCTCTCCCCAGACCTACTTTGATCTTAATTTTGGCAAATATGAATAAACGTGCCCACAATAAGATGTAGAATCAAAAGGACGTTTTCTCCAATGACAGCTTTTTTAACTAACTTCATTCTTAAACTTTGGCGATGTTTGTTTTAAAAAGTGATGATTATAACTGGAACAAAACTTAAATTTATGATGAAAGTGAATTTATACATGTTTTTTTTTGTTCTGAAGTATTTACAGCAAAAAATATTAAGCACTATTAGATTGTTTATTTATAAGAAGAATTTTATATTCTAAAAACTGATGCAATTAGAACAAATGCAATGCAATATTTATCATTTACCAATTTATAAAGAAATAAATATGAAAACTAAATGATTAAAATATGTGAACCAACCCTAAGGAAGTCATTATTTACTATTTTATAAAATTTAAATTGATTGGCAATTATCCAATGTTTTGCCAACCATTCCAATAACTAATATAATAGTGTAAATAAACAAACTAATAAATAAATAGAGTTTATTATTTTTGTTGTAAATTCTCAAAAACAAAGAAAATGTATAAATTCACTTTCATATGTTTAGGTTTTTATTACAATTCTAATTTTCGTTTTTTAAAAGAATAAACATTGCTGAAAAATGACGGTAGTTAAAAAAATTGGTGTCATGGGAAAAGCCTTCCTTTTGATACTCTGCCTTATTGTGAGAATGTTTATACATGTTTGCCCTAATTTTTATCCATATCCTTTTTGATGTTATCAGTGATCAACTTGCAATCTATGCTAATGACATAACTTTTTACTCTTGTCTTAATGGTAAGTATGAGTATGATAAAATCAAATTGGCAACTGATCTCAAAAATGAACTCCAATTTGTTTTTAACTGGAGCAATAAATGGCTTGTTAATTTTAATGCCTCCAAAACTAAACTGCTGTCTATTAATAGTTTTTTTTTGCCTTCCATCAGCTGATGCTAACCTCTGGGAGAGTGACATTGCTTCGTCTCAGTATAATGCTTTACACTGAGATAAATTGGAACAATTATATTGAGTCAGTTGCCATGTCTACTGCTAGGAAAGTTAGTTCATTCTGTCATGCAAAATAATTTTCTCACCTGAATCTATGTTGCACCTTTACATGCCTACCATTCACCCATGTATTGAATATTGTTAACGTATTTGGTCTGGTGCTTTTTCTCTGTATTTAGAGATTCTTGATTAAAATGCAAAGAAGAATCTGCAATGTTAGTGATCATGAAATGTCATCTCAGCTTCAAATTCTCAGCTTCCCAATGGGAAGTATGAGGTATACTGAGATTCAAGTTCACTCCAGGCCTCAAGTGGAACATATATATTCAATCCATCACTAAAGATGTTGGAATGATGATGGGTTCCTTGTACAGCTCAAGAATGTATCTGACTCCTCCTGTCATGCTCTAACTATTGGCCTATTAACTTTCTACCTCTTTTTGGCAAAGTACTAGAGGCACGGTAGAGTAATGGATTCTGGCTCGGATTGAGGAATCGAAAAGCAGAGTTCAGTTTCCAGTCAAGTTCATTACATCCACTTATATGCTAATATCCTTGAGAAAAATATGAATCCTACTTTTCTACCTCCAGCTATGGGTAAATAGTAGGACAGACTGTGACCTATAGCCTTGGGTGGCAATCGGTCTAGGAGAAGGAAAACTCTGAATTCAAAACTGTATGTAGCCCTGGTGAAGCACATACTATACAGCTAAGGAGAGGACCATTCACATTGACTCAATGTTCCTGACTATGGTTGGCTAGAGGCTCTAATCAACTTCGAATTGATTAAGCATCTCACCTTGCAAGGTTTTCTTTCATTCAAGCTGTATAGCTTTTGGTTCTCTAGGTCAACTGTTGATGTTTTAATGATTATTGCTGAATAAGCCTAACAAACTTGGGCTGTTACTTTGGACACATCTCAAAGGCATTTGACAGGTGTTTGGTATACTGGTCTTGAAAGGTTACTTTATCTTACTCTATTTTACAAATTTTTGATCTTATCAAACTGGGAAATGAAAGTTATCTTGAACTGCCAACTCTTCTAGATCTTTTAATGTGGGTTTCCCCCACCCCCAGGGCTGTATCCTTGAACCTATGTAGTTCTTGAAGTAAAATTAATAATTTGACACTTGCTATTCTCCTTATCTATAACAATATGGTCAGATCTTTGTGCTTCATTCATATGATCTGTCTGGATTGAGAAAGTCCAAAATATCTTGTCATATTCTGCCACTGTCTCTAGATGATAGTCATACAATATCTTTCATATTGATGCCAGATTTATGACATACTTTAAATAGTTTCTCTTACTAATCTAATCATGTTGTCACTTATAGTCTTTCTGTGCTAACTTGAGACATTCAGTGAGTATATGGTTGTCTCATCTGCTTTTCCACACATCCTGTATTTGCTTTCTTTTAATTTGTCACTCCTAGCCTCGATTGCAGTTATTCTGATTGTCTACTTCTGTAGTGAAATTATTATTATTGCCTCAAATAATACACACACACACACACACACATACATACATATATATATATATATATATATAGAACATATAGGAAATGTTTATTAATCTAACATGGTTCATTTTATTTGTTAGATTAATAAACATTTCCTATTTGTTCTTATCATTCTGTCAGATTCTGATCCATATTTGATCTGTATTTGTTCCCAATTCATATATATAGTATATTTATCCAATCAACTACAGATAAAATAATAGTCATTGTGAAATCCATGACCCTTTCATTGGCTGCATATCAAAGATTTTAATATATAGCCTTTTTGTATATATTTTTTTGCATTCTATATATAAATATATATATATATATATATATATATATATATATATATATATGTGTGTGTGTGTGTGTGTGCAAATATATAGAAAATAGGAAAGAACACGTTAGGTAAATAATCCAAAGTTCTTTAGTATTTTTGTTTTTATTTTTAAAAACAGTGCTCAATAAAAAGTAGAGCCTAAATTATGATTATTTTTTTGAAACCAAAAATTTCACTTGAGGATGAAACAGAGCTTTTAGCTCTTTTTTTGAAACATGAGAACTCTTATGTAGCGAAGGAATCATATTTTTTAAAATAAATTACAATTATATATATATATATATATATATATATATATATATATATACGAATGGTACATTTAAGCGAAGTCCTTCTTGTCATAGACTCCCCAAATTTTTATATCTAATCAGTTTTATGAAACAAACATAAAGCAATTTTCTAAAGAAGTAATTGATTTTTTATTTATTAATCCAACAGATTTTTTCATTTATTTTTTTAGGATTTCACTTAAAGGCACCATTATCCACTGAAATAATGTTTAACAGGATAAAAATATGTTGGATTAATAAATAAAAATCCATTACTTCTTTAGAAAATTGCTTTGTTTACATTTGGATACATATATATATGGGTATGATAAAAAATATATATGCACATACATATAAATATATTTCTTCCTCAGGTCTTATAAATACAGTACTCAATGTTATGTAACAGAGCTATAAGTATTTGCTCAGCACCTAAAGATTGCAAGACCACATGAAACTCTGAGTTGTGCTATTCACGAATATATATAGATATTTATATAAATATAATTAATGAACAATACATAAGTAATGGTTATTTTGAATGTAATAAAATTCTTTATATTTATAGGTTTACACCAGAGTGATGACTCTTCAATACACAGTCTAGATCGGGAACCTGCTGAGATGGAAAGTTCAAATGGTTTGTCCCCAACCAGCCAGATAACATTTGATTCTCAACTTGAAACAGATTTTGGCATCAGTGACTCACATGAATTTAAAGATGAAAGCATAAATGAGTATGAAAATGTCACTGTGATGAAGACACCCCAGAAAACTGAAAACCAGCATTGTGAAAGTGGCTTGGCTTCAAACAACATAACTTGTCCTATTCCTCCACCCCGAAAAAATCGGCAAAATTGTCTGGGTGCCAAACACAAGTCGATGACATCAATTGACAAAACTAATCAACCTCTAATGAAACAGGAAAACTATTCACAGTCTGAAAATGATTTGATGATTTTGTCTGGTTTTCATGAAAATGTGATTAAACTGGTGCCAGCACACAAGAAAAGTTCTCAAATTATCATGACAGGACAGGTACCAAAATATTCAACGAGGAATCTCCAACAGGAATCAGTTGAACAGTTTGGTTTAACAAAGGATCATTCAATAAGTTACCACTATTCCGACCATGAGGAAGCTGTGGAAAGAGATGAAAGGAAAATTGGAAGCAAGAGTTATGAAAGAATTCTACATTCGAAATTGCTAGATGAAGTGGACCAGCAAAATTGGTCAGAATTCTATCAACCGCAGCAGCAAGAACAAATTGGCAGGAACAACCATGCAAAAATTTCACATCCAAAATCAGTAGAAGAATTTGACCAGCAAAATTGGCAAACATTGTATCAGCAGCACCAACACAAACAACAGAATGGAAGCAACAAACATGCAAAAATTTTATGTACAAAACCTGTAGAAGAATTTGACCAGCAAAATTGGCAAATGTGTCAGCAGCAGCAACACGAACAACAGATTGGAAGCAACAAACATGCAAGAATTTCACATACAAAATCGGTAGATGAATTCTGCCAGCAGCAAGAACAACAACGACAATTTAATGACCAAGTGCTTCATTCAGAAAAAAAACCTTTGTCCATTACACCACAAAATTCTTACACTTTGATTAACAAGTCGGAGATTCAAAATGAAAACAAAATTAGGTTGGCTCTTTTTGAGAAGAACCTAGGACCATTTTTTTCCAAGGAAACCAATCTGAGAAACCAATCAGATATACCGCGAAATCTGGTATTATCACGCCCACCAGAAGTCCTCCTAAAAAACATTGGACAGCCTGTTGCTGCAACCAAAGGTGACCAAAGTAGCAAAAGAGACATTTCAAATGCAGTCTCAAATTGCACGAAACATGACAACCCTCCTGGTGTTCACATTTCCAAAGACAAGGAATTCGTAGAAAGTGAACGAGTACCATTAAGTTACTCAAGACAAGTTTATTCAGAAGATAATCAACAGACACAAAAGTTGCTAAAATTTTATAAAGATGAAAGCATTTCTTCTTCACCACATACAGCTGCTACCACAAAAATTCCTGTGAAACCAAAACATCCACCATCTTATGAAGAAGTTACACAGCAGAAACAACAACAACATAAAAGAAGTACACTTGCAGAGAACCTTTACAAGGAATCTGTCAAAGAATACAGTCAAAAAACCCCTGAAAGACATGGAAACATTTCGGTAGCAGAAAAATTAACTTCAAATCATATAAAATATGATATGAAATGTGACAAACTTTACCGAAAAAATATTGTGAATAACCCATCGCCTCGAAAACTTGGTCAAAGCCAGCATCAATTAAATGCTGAAAAAAATCAAATAAAATATATGCGTCCTGTTGATATTTCTTCAAGAAACAGACTCCAGAGAAATCTGAGTAAATCAGATACAGCTCTGAATTTTCTTTGTAGTGACACCCCTGAAACTGTTGGGAAATATCCCAGTTCTTACTCAAGGATAAAAGTTGAACAATACACTGACTTGGTGGATAAGGATGAAACAAAGAGGATCGTACAGAAAACAAAAGAGCTAAAATTGGAACCTGTGAAACGGTACAGGAATGCTACCAATCAAAAGACTGTTTATCATCAACCTCTGACTAAAACAAAATCATTTGATTTTACTGAAAATGAAAAGGAAACTGAGGATTCTTACAGAAAAAGCAGGCAACCAATTTTACCATGGAGTGTATCAGATATGATCAATAAGTTTGCTAGCCCTAATAATGAAACTCCACATTCACACAATTCATTCAAATAAAAATGTGATTTGTTTTATCTAAAACCTAACAAATAAAAAAACACAAACATATCTCACTTCTCACTTTCCAGCCTTGACAGAGTTCAAAATCGTTTTTGTGGCTGTGTGTGTGTGTGTGTGATGAATTATTTTCAACCATCAAAACTCTTTTTCTCCAGAAATGAAATGTTGCAAGCCTATCGCTACTCTACTGCTATTTTCATGGGGGGAAAAGTTCAGACAAGCTACATTCCATTACAGCGAGGACTCACCGTGTCACGTACACAGAACTGAATCATCCTCATTTCCTTCATATTCCATTTGTAAGAAAGAAGTTCCACCAGACAGCTTCTCCCCAAGAACTGATACTTTGTGGAACAGATGCACACATGGATGCTTTCTCGCTCACTACAATATTAACCTCTTCAAGTCTAAGGCCAACCACTCTCTATCTTACATATCCTCATAATCTTCACTTAATTCCCTCTTTTATGTCCGTACAACAACCTCATTGAGCAAACAACTTCATTCAATAAACAACGTCATTCAGTAACGCTCTACTTTGAATGACTATTGGAATTGTTCTGGGTGAACATTTAGATTATAAAAAAAGAACAAAATAATTGTGAGCTACTGAAATCTAACAAATATCACAACCAGTGATATAATTATTCTTAATTAAAACCAAAATCTCTCTCTATTTCTCTCATATATATATATATATATATATATATATATATATATATATATATATATATATATATGAATAAATTTTACAGTTTTAAAAAAAAATTATCAAACTGAATTCTTGTCTTTGTTTATTTATGCAAATTTACCTTTATCTTTCTATGGAATGAGATTATAAATGTTTCATATAAAAATAATTAGCAAACATGGACATTTGTGCCCACCAAAATACAGTGTCAAAAGGACGCTTTTTTGAAGTAAAGAAATGTAATTGCTTACATCCTGAAGGACATAGCATTTAAAAAAAAAAAAAAACAATGTATTCTAAATACATTTGTCTCTATCGGGTTTCTTTTGATAAAGCAGGCAAGTCTTAGCAAAAATACCAATGACCAACAGATAAAGGTACATAATGTATATAATATATATTGTAGAATGAGGTTGATATAGATGATATTGTAAGTCCCTTTGAGTTAACTCCTCACCCAGTAAGAAGGAACATGAGCAGCAGGTGTCACTTGATCGTCATCTAGTCCTGTTTTCCTCCAGTGAATATATATGTCTCAGTTTTTCTAAGGTAGTATTCATATAAAAAAAAAAAATTATTGTAACCTAATTATGTACAATAATGGGTCATATGCAGTACAGGGAACAATTAGAAAAAATTGAAAATAAATACAATGTATTTAAATAGAAATTATAGACATGTATTGATATATCACTCTATCTTAAATAAATTAACAATGTTTTGTGGCAATTTTTAACATCAACTTGAGATTTTTCTTATTAAATAGTTGAAAAATTTTAAATTCATGGATTTGGACACACAAAAGGAAAAAGAATCTAGGATGACGTCAAAATATGCAAAAAATTTTGATCCTTTAGTAGCTGTGGTTAGTTTGTGAAGTATATAAATGAAGGTAGAAAAAAAAACCAATGTTGATAAGTTAATGAGGTTTACATGCACTGCCCAGGAGACCCCAGTCAGGTAGTATGCACTGACCCTGCACTAAACAATGCCATGGCTCAATGCAGATCACAAGAAATCACATTTTTCATGAAAACAAATTGACTACATAACCATTAATAAGAGATTCAAGAATGCAGTTTAGCACTGTAAAACCTACTCAAGTGCAGGAGGGACCACCTTCTAGTGATATGTGAAACTGTGCAAGTTGAATTGAACCAAATCAACACCCAAACTGCAATACAACCGACTCCTGAATTACCTGACCTTGAAGGGGCTGTATATGGATAGTGTTAAAGACAGATACAATGGACGACATGAGAATGGAAATTCGAAGAGGAACGCATTAAAAGAAGCATTAGTAACATGAGAAAATGTGATCATCCCTAAGAAAACTGGACAAGGAGAAAAGGAATGGATGACAGATGAAAAAGAGACAGAAAACTATATCAAGGTATGGCACAAAATATGAAATATTGCATGTAGACAATTTGGTATTTAGTTCCATTTATTTATTTTTTTTTAAAGTTATTACCCTAAGCAAGGCGGGAGTGCCGCTAGCATGCAAGGAGTTCCAGAGAGTGAGAGCAAGTGTAAAGAGGGGTGTTTGGGGAAAGGATATGAAGAAGGATGGGGATCGGGATCAAGGCATCAGAAGATGTCGATTGACATTACATTTGAAGATAATAGCTATCAAGGAAGCAATTAAAAGGAAGGGAGTTCCATTGATGGAAAGTGCGAGATAAACAGCTATTAGAGTATAAGAGACGACTACATTTAACCGTTTTGACAGTGAAAGAGTGGGACCTAGATGCCAACCTAGTAGGACACTTAAATTCATGCAGTTTTGGGAACCAGTGAAAGTAGCTCGTCAGAGCAGTTGCCATGAAAATACTTGTAGAAAAGACAGAGGGAAGCCACAGCACGTCTGTGAGAAAGTGACTATAGACGAGATGCCAGATCAATACCTCTGACATTGCATATCCGTCTCTGGATTTTGTCGAGGACTTCGAGATGAACAGCGGGGGTGGGGACCAGACCATATATGGCAGCAGTATTCAATGCAAGGACGACTGGTTGATTTGTAGATTTGATGAGAACTCCGACGAGAAAAACCTTCTGGCGCGACAGAGAGAAACAATAGGTGAAGCTATTGATTCGATGTAGTTGTTCCACCTCGGGTCAGTGGAAAGCGTGTGATTAAGCATGCGCAGAGAGATGCTCTGCAACAG